TACGAATAGCCTACAACGGCCTCAGCTTCCTCCAAGGGGCTCCGCCGTGCACTGCAAACATATGCCCAGATCAAGCAGTTCAAAATGGGACCATCATCAAATCCACTTTCGCGATTCACCGCCGCAACGAAACTTCATCCATGATCCAACACAGAAGAAGGAGACAATTAGAGAGGAGATTTGCTGCTCAGCCATTATAAGCGAAGCGGAGTCCTGATGGCCAGGCCGTCCACCGGTCCCAGGCAGCAGCATAGCGACCTTGGAAAATGCATATCCAGATTTTTTTTTCACTTTTTTTTTCCCTTCAATAACGTCAATAACGAATTTTTACCGAGGCCAAGCAACAACACGCCATTTCTCCAGTATTCGCCTACCTTACCCTGTCTTTGATTCCTACATACCAATTCTGGCACCTGATGGATTTGTGATTGGAGCCCAGTGATTGTGGTGCCACTACTTTGTCCGTACTCTCCCTCTGTGTAACTGTGACCGAGATGGGGGTGATGATGATAATGGGGAGCATATGATGACAAACGATTGAGAGATAGTTTGGCTAAGAAACCGCAAATTCATGTTATTGCATTGGTGCTGGCTTAGCCTTGGTAGAAAGAAATAACATCATGCTGCAACTTTGAGGTTTGGCGGTTCACGGTTGCATGGAACCGCAACAGAAACGAAAGAAACGAAAGAAACGCTGCCCTTTTGCACCACCCCCCGGACAGTGGAGGGCCCCACGCAACAAATGCGAGCCGGCCAGTCGCAGCCATCCGTCCCCGCTTGCTGTGGGTCTCGGAACCCAGCGACCCCCTGGCCTTCATGGCCCCGATCGACCCCGGAGCTTTGGAGCGGACGGGCGACACGGGAAAGGACGACTCCTACGGACTACTACGGTCCTTACCTGCCCATCACCTGGTGCCCTGTGTTGGTCGTGCTGTGTGCGTTTGTTGCCCCGAAACCCCAACGACCTTCCGGGGACAACACCGTACCTGCTGCCAATCCCGGCACATCTTTTGCCTCCTCCAACCAGCCCATATCGTATGCGTACCCATGGATATTGTTCAAGAGCAACAACTCAGGAGAATGAGGAGAAATCGCGCAACCCTTGGCCCGGTCTGGACTGCCTTGGACTCCTCATACCTACCTACCCTTGCTTTCCCTAAATCTTGCAGCCTGCTGTCTCTCTCTCTCTCTCTCTCTCTCTCTCTCTCTCAGCCTCCAATGCTCCAACCCCTCACCCAAAAGGTAGCTCTGCGGATACCTCCCTCTCTTGGCCAAGATCCATCGACATTACACTAGGTATATCGCGAAGGACATGGTTACATCCAAAGATGGTACCCCTTCTTCGTGGGGATGTCGTACACTGACCACAATGAGGCCAAGGTCGCAAAAGAAGAAAACGGCTAGTACAATCAGCCACACCCGCAACGTTCTGCACCCTGCTGGCAAAGCAAATCCAAATTTCGGGCTTGGCAGCCAACTCAGTAGCTTCGTACAGGCCGTAACTCACGATGTGTGTGGGCATCGTCAGAACCTAAAAAAAACACCCTCTTGAGATTCCCCCAGAGCTTCAGCTGGCAGGTCTTAGCAGGTGGCCGTCTCGTGAAACATGGCCTGGTACCCAATGGTTTAACCGTCGTACCCCATGTCGACGGGGGGGGGGGGGGGGGGGGGCTTGGGTGTCATGGTGGAACGACGTAGCCTGTTGCCTGTATGTACAGTAGCCTGTAGGGGGAGCCAACGCAGCGCCCCCTTTCCTTTCCTGGCCGGGGCCCGCGTAGTAGTGTAATCCTACTGGCCCACCGCTTCATCCTGCAAGCCCGAGACTTCGGTGCGGTGGGCTGGGGTTGCTGGAGGAGGATGCAATCGTATGCGCCCATCTGTCTGCCCTAGGATGAATTGAAGCCAATCTGGAAGGCGTAGGGCTGGATATCCAGGAGAAGACATAACATGCAGAATACCGTGCCCTCTCACGGCTCGAGCTTGGCCACCTTTACGAATCTTTATCCGCAGCGCTGGGTTCAATAGATCGATGGGAGGAGAACTGTCAGCAACCGTGGTTTAGTGGTCATGCACACGTTGGAAAAAGAGACCATACCATCGTGAAGGGGGAGTGCTACAGAGGTATGCCGCGAGGAAACTCGAAAGGTATCTGCTAGAACCATTTTCCCGGGCAATGAAAGGCAATGTAAATGGAATAGGATAGGTATGCTGCCTGAAAAGGAGAATGTGAGGATACCGATTCGTGGAGACGTTTGATTATCGTCATGACCGACAGTGCTGCGCCATCCTTCTCGCAACTAGACAATGCGCCTGTCTGACGGCATGGTATGGGTGCGGTGTGTTTCTCAATCTCAACAGCTCTCTGCTCTGTTCGGAGCCAAATTGATGACAACGTCTGCATGGCATATCTGACCGCGCTGCCGTGACAGAGTGACGGACCGGCCGCCGTTGGACATGCTGACAAGTGCAGATAATAAACGGCCTCTAAGGAAGTGAACTAAACGGCGCCCGCCTTTTGGTGGACAAGTGCCGTCCAACGGGTTTGTGGCGTCGTGATGCGCCCTGCAAATCGAAAGTCGGAGGCTACGTTGTATCGCATCGCGGAGAAAGAAGTGCAGTGCTGACATAGCTCGGCCATAACGTTGATACATAACTCATGGCTGGAATGAACTTGATCCTGCTTCATCTGGCGGTCCAGTAATATTCCTATAGGGTCCGGGGGCTGGGGAGACGGCAGCGACGCATAGCAGGCAGCATCCAATGAGCTGCTAAATCATTAGGTCTTGTTACACTCTGGCTCCTTATTTCGGATCTGGATATCGCCAAGTCAACGTGTCATGCAACAACGAGCCACTCAGAGGTCGAGATTGTGATGGGTGCTGGTGATGGTGATGGTAACGGCATGTTCTAGACGTTATCGATGCGCCAGAGGCCAGAGGCCAGAGGGGGAGGGGTGGTTACCGGCGCGTAAAAGTCGTTCGAAGTCATGTGTGCGCTTGACGAGAAGTCTGAACGGGCTCAACCGTCAACGGCGGCCCTGCAATAGTATCATCGATGGGAAATGCAGCCCTGTTGGAGCTGTGCAGCAATTACAGATACAGAACCTGCACGTTTTGTTGGATGCCTATTCGTACCCTCTCCTGTGGAACCCAAGTCCGAGGTCCCACCCACTGCGAGCTCTCATCTTTTACCCAGGCTGCGACGAAGATCCAGGGACAAGGGGCGTTTGGCGATGGAGCCGGCTGGTCGGCTTTGACAGGGGGGGAGGGGGTACTGCGGGCGTTGATGATTTCCATGGATGGGGTACGATACAGGTTACGAAACAGGTTCGGCGAAAGAAAGGAAAAAAAGCGACATGGGAGTTATTCGGATCATGGGCATGGTATGGCATGACCAGCGATGTGTTTGAAGGTGCGGTGATTCTGGGAAGGGGTCGGGGTAGGGAAGAGATGGGTTAGATGGTTACGAAGTACGATGGGGGAGTGAGTGGGTGGGGTCAAATGTTCACTTCGTCCGAAGGATCGCAGATGAGGGTTGTATCCGCGCATCCACGGTTGAGGTAGATGGAGGAAGATGCGGAGGATGGGGTACTTTGATGTGTGACTGCGCAAGTACGGACGAATAGGAGGGCAGGCAGCGTCTTGCTAATCGACTTTGCAAAAATAGACGTCTTACAAAGCACGTGGAAGCCTTCGTCATTTGGCCCCCCCCCTTTGGGCCCTTGGACGAGGCACGGGAAGGGTAGACCGCACTACCGTAAGATAGACGTACGGCGTAGTCTCAAGTACCTTGCCTACCTTACCACACCTAATTACCCAGTCCCGAATCACCAGTAAACCTAACGGATATGTGTACGGAGTACGGATACCAGAGCCTGAGAGCCTAGAGTCACTATTGCTGGTTGGGGGCCGAGAACGAGCGTCCCAAAGAAGGAGATGAAGTGCACGTTGCATTTGCAAGTCAACATGGGGTAGGGAGGCCCTGTCTCGAGATTGATAATTCCTAGTTACACACACCAAAACCAGCGCGGCTGTCGGCCGACCTAAAGCACCTTGCGCGCCCTTCCAGCTTCCAGGGTGTTTGATTCCCCTTGTCAATTTTGGCCTCTTGTATTGGGGTCCCGCTCTGGGAGGATTCGCGATACTGAGGATCCAGACCGAGGGGGTAGGATTTCAGGACGAGCAAGGTGATGGTGATCATGATGATGATGATGGTGATGGGCATCTTAATCGTACGAATGACCGGAACTCGCCAACAATAGCCGGAGCAAGACGTGGCCAAGTCTCGCCCGCTGCTTTCACAACGCGTCTTTTTTTTTTTTTTTTTTTTGATCTTATTCCCGTTCTGCATGGAGCAATCTGTGTCTCGACCGCTCTCCTGGTACCGGTATCCTTGCAATGAACGTCGTGAAGTTCGGATGCTGAATATATCTTCAGCTCGCCGATGACACACACACACACATATCTACAGGCAGGGATCTGGGGAAATTCCGGACGTGGTCCACCCAGGTTTCCCGTGGCGATTTGATTATTGCCATATCCGAAAATGTGTTTGTGAATAGTAAAAAAAATATCAAATGAATCGTGTCAAATACGCAGTCAGTGTTTCGTGATACGAGTCCTAGAGTCCACGAGGCCACAGGTGTCAACAGAACAACCTAACCCAACGGTAAAACGTTGACACGCGCGAGGATTCAGGAAAGACGTGACGCTGTGCCGTGTGTGCCTTGCGGGCGGGACACGCCAAAACGGCGCTGGCGCACCTCGCCCTGTGGCTTGGTAGCCGGAATAGCCTCTTCCCGTCTCTAGGCTGGAAAGGCTTGGGTGGGGTTGTCCCTTGGGCCTTGGGGTGGTAGGTGCCCCCGTCCTTGAATCCTTTTTACCTCTTTGGTTATGACGTCTCGGCAGGGGAGGAGGAGAAGAGGAGCCCTTCGACTATGGGGTTGAAGGTTCCCTGGTCTCTGGAATCGGGTCCGGGAACTGGTCGCTGGGAGTACTGTTCTCAGTTCCTCACATGGGAAGATCGAATGGAAGATACCCTACGGAGTACATATCTATGGATCCCCACCTGCGCCTCTGCGCGGGCGTTAGGTTAAATATCACAGCACCGCACTTCGTAGTGAAAAAAAGATCAACGACGGGCTCTCACTGGCTGCTGCATTCGTTAATGACCAAGCTCGGCCACGAGACTCCCCACTTGTCTCTAGGCAATCGAATTCTCGTGATGCTGGTTGGGCCGCACGCTTCAATGTTTAATATAGCCAAGGCAAGGTTAGGGGTAAGTGGTCTAGCTAGTGTATCCGAGCCTGAGTCCCCCTCCCTTTGGTTGGACACACCCTGTACTCCGTACCCAGCATCTAGCATCGAGCACCTGCCACCTAGGAGTAGCATCGCAACCGCAGCCGGTCCATGGAACCTAAAAATTGAGAGAAAAAAGGATCCTGGACCCCGGATCACAAAGACTTCTGCGCTGGAAATCATAGAAAGTTCAGTGCACTGACCCATGTTTTGGGAACACTCATTCAACCTCTGCAAAGCTTGGCCTGCGGAAAGAGGCTAAAAACCAGGAGCTTGGAGCTTCGGGATTGGCCCGTCTTACGAGGCTACATCTTGGGACTAGCGCCGCTCCGCTCCATCCCGGGACCGGTCCACTTTTGTCCCGTCCTTATTGCCGGCTGGCCACGGATGCTCAATCAACTTGTACAAGCAAGCCATGGCCCTGTCTACAAACACCTAGCTCCCGCTCCGGCTGAACATTGCAGCGCAAGATTGGGGGGCACGACTGCGATCAATTCGGGAACCCTTTCGAGATGCGCCAAGGGTCTTTCAAATGCTGTATCCGCAGTGTATCGGGCCCCATCGTAAGCGGGGTCTTTGCATCCTACGCCTCAATGATGAATATGCGAGTATATGTGCTGGTGCATGAATACCTGGGAATCTAGACGAAGTTGGAGATGGAGTCACGTCGAAAGAGTTCCCCCGTACGGACGTCGTGCCATGGGTTAATCCATGCTTCTACGGTCCAAGACTCCGAATCCTACCGGCTCTGCCTTGACCATCCGTAGCTAGATTTGCGACTTTGTCCTTTTTGGTTTGAGGCCAAGGGGGATGCCATCATCTCCCGCTCTCCGATATCGTCAGTAATTAATAGCTCTCGTCAAGTGTTGTCCACGGAAACGGTGCCAGGCTGAAGGAATGGCCACGGCACCGTCCGACCTTCTGACAGCATCTTCCCGGGCACATTGCTTGCCCACGGACCTGGTCACGACCTCATTCGGATTACCAACCAGCCGTGCCAGCCAACTAGCCGGCGCCTCTCGGGACGTATTATGTCAATGGGAACAACAGGCAGCTTGTTCGACGTCCATACGGATTTGCGCTCGCCATTTCGCGCCTCCACTAGAACGGTACACCTGTGAGGCGCAGGGTCGTTGCCGACGATCCTTCAAACGTAGCAAATGCCGCCAGTGTCAACTCTATTGCCTGGTACACCTGGATAGCCATCTCCCGTTCGGGACTCATCCTGCGCGCTCGCGCGCGCACGCAAGAGAAGCCAATCTAACCACGCTTCAACTACACGAGCAATAGAGCTCGTCCGTTGTTTGGGTCGGAGACTATTCCTCAACCCCCAAGAGAAGATCTCGGTCGTTGTCCGGGGAGGGGGTGGGGGCGGTTGACGTGGAGCATCTAGATCTGCCAAGCACCACCTTGAGCGACAAGGGTGCCTCTGTATCAGAATGTTGAAAGCTCGCCACAGAGCGAGCCATGGCGACCCCAAGACCCAAATCCACGGCAGCGACATGTCCTTTTGCTAGTCAACGATGACCAGCCACTGGCCAGGTGAGGACGAAACACCCATTACTGGGGCCGGGGAATGCCATTGTGAGTGCTTGTCAAACATGGTCTGTCCAGGGCGCGGAGACTTTCCAGATAGTCTACCGTGTATCTAGTGGCATTGGCGACTGGTAGCTCCAATGATGGGTGAAAAGACCAGGTATGAGGCATAGCCGCATAGGTACAGAATCCTACTCGATTCCATCTCGGGAGGGACGTTATGGCGCGGCAGAGAGAAGCCGCCACAAAAGTCACGGTGTATGGGTGTATGAGTCTTTTGGTGGTCTAAGACGACGCATCTTAGCCCTATGTGAGGAACTTTGGGAGAAGCTAGGCCTTGTGTGCGGGCTGAGCTAGGTAGCTTGGGGAGCAGTGGTTCCGAAACATCCCCCCAACTCCCCAAGTTGCAACAGATCAGCTACCGTTCTACGTACTTTCACCTTATGGATACAGGGCGACCTGGAACGGCCAAAAGGCCACAACTTAGCACCAAGTGGGCGGTGGTGACTGGTGGAGGGATCGGCCGCCCTACAGAACGCCAGGCGAAAGCTTGGATCTGAACGGCGGCCCCCAAATGGGGTAGCAGTTCCCGCGTTGGGGTAAGGGCGATTTCTGCGCAACAGCGCATACCAAGAACTGCTGATTCCAGGAGCCAGGCTTGCCAGAGCCGCTGCCTTTCCGTTGCTTGACATGACTAGGTACCAATAAGCAGGTGTTGGCGACGAACGGCGTAGACTGACTGATGCATTCTGCCGTTTACCATTCCCAAACACCCCCAAGGTGCTTCTGCGCTGGCAGATCCTTCAACGAGAGGCGCTGAGCAGGATGAGCGCGAGGGGGAGGCGGCGAGAGAAACGGGATCTCTCTGTGCGTGCGTGCGTGCAGCCCTACGGGACGGACATAAGGTACGGAGTAAGGTGTTTATTGCTCTCTGTATCCGTGTCCGTAGTACGGATAGAGTCTGTCTGCGCCAATATCCGTACGAACTCCCTGCCCTGTCCTTTCTTGTGTTACACAAGAGTTGGCAGGGGATGCGATCCTTGGTACCAGTACGAAGTACAGAGTACGTACCTCCCGTCATGGATGGGGCGCTGCGAGTCCTCAAATGTTTCCTCGAGTGAGTGCTAGGACTCTTTCTGTCGAAGCATCGAAGCAGCGCGCAAGGCGTCCTCGAGGTTATTCCTAATTTCCTGCACATGAGATATATCGAGAGCAACTTACAAAGCAGGACAACTGGCCCAAAGGAGTGAAACCTTGACGCTATGTCATCCAGTGTGAACCGAGCTGCCCATTTCATTTGTCACCGACCCGACTGACGCGGGAAGTCCGACAGTTGTCGCCTGTTCCATCATCCATGAGCATGAGGTCTGGCCAGCATGAAAGTTGAAGATGGAGGATGGGTTGATGCACAATCGATGCCAAAATAAGACGGGTAAAAGCAGAATGCCTTGACGCGCTTGATTCGCAATGGCATCTCGAGGTAGCATTTCGCAGGTATTGATAGAAGGAGACGAATGCAAGTGGGCAAAATTAGCCCAGGCTAGCAACAGCAGGTCCAATGAGAATGCTTCTGCTGTGCCGCGTGCTGCCACCAACAATTAGCCCTTCCAGTCAGTCCGACGGACGATGTTGGATATCTACTATTATTGAGCATCTTGATATATCATGTTGCTGTCGGGTTCTAACAATACTCACCTGCCTCTTCCAAGATTGGTAGACAATGTTGATACCTGTAGGTGATTCTAATTCTGAATTCGATGGACGGGGATGATGCCAGGGCTACCTTACCATGGGCTAGGCGCCAGCGCGATTGTCTAGGTCCCCTCGTCGAAATGAAATCAAGAGAGGTTGCAAGACACGAGAAATGATGTTCTATGATGATGATGATGATGATGGATCGGCGCCAAACCCTTCTGCGTTTCTCGTACAAGTGGTCCAGTCAATGGCATTTGGATTAGCAGGAGTGGACAAGTACCGAAGTTGCCTTAGGTAAGGTGGTCAGGTCGGAGGTATTGAGGTATTCGTAAGTTTGTAAGGCAAGGGAAGGGAAGGAAGGTATCCGAAAGGTAAGAGTCGGGGCTTGGTGGTGCCGTCGGGTTGGCGCTGCCGCTGTTTAAACCCCGAAGGACAGCGCCTTCCTTGGAGTTCCAGCAACGATCGAAGGTGAAGGTGCCTTGGGTGCCCCTGCTCCTGAGTATCCGCAAGGTAAGTACGAAGTAGTCTTGCGGGAGTCTTGAGGAAGGAAGTTGAGGTGTTGCTTTCCTTCCCTCCCCCGGTCGTCCATCTCTGCCCCGTGCTCCCATCTCCACCATCTCCACCACCCCCTCGTCCACCCGAGCCACCAGTGCCACCCTTCCCTTGTCCTCAATGAGCAATGGTACGTACTACGTACTTTGTTAGGGATTCTGTGTCTCCCCTCGACGTGGAGACTCAAAACTTATCGCGAACCCTGGGCGACGGCCACGGTGCACTCACAGCTTCTGTCGACCCGGTCGGGTGGAGCCATCGAAGAAAGTGCGAGATGGAGATGCAAGGTACGTACCTCCACCGCCGTCTCGACCGTCTTTGAGAATTGAGTGTCATTCTCATTCTCAATTTACTCAAACACCCAAACACACAAGACCTGTCGGACCCGACCCCTGCTACACAACAAGAACCACTCCATTATTGCCATTGCCAGGTCCATCTCCTCTCGTTCGAGTCTCCCTTTCTCTCCGCCCAGCCTGGATGCTCTCCGACGTTGTTCTCCACTGGCGTAGATGCAGTGCAGCGCAGCATCCATATCCCTCCGTCCATTGTGTGTCTGCTGCCTCTCATCACCCACCGTCGGACTGCAGCCTGGCCGTCAATCTCTGTGTGTGTTTGGCCTCTCTCCAGCTCCGTCAAATCTCCTTGCTCCGGCCCAGCCCAGCTGATCCTTGGGTGCCGGTGCGCCCATCTTTTCTGTGCTAGTGCCAGCCTACAGGCTACGCCTACCGCATACCTCACCTCTCCCAAGCCGTCCCGTCGTAAAGACTCAAAACTGAGGTGCGAGTGGTACTGCTAACTGATCTGTAAACGGAGAGGGGAACGAGGCGTTGCTCTTGGCTTGCTCCGTTTAAACCAAAAGGTCATCAGGCACCTTCTTTCCACCCATTACCCTTCACCCATCACCAAATCCTCTCCGACTTGTCTCTTGTGTCTGTGGACGGCTGCTGCCGTTCTCTCTCTCTCTCTCTCTGTATGTCTCTGTGTCTCTGTTTCTTCCTCGCTCTCTTGCCCCTCCCCCCCTCCTTATTCCTTCCCATGCGCCCCCATCTCCATCCCTAGGTATCGTGGTATCCTACCTTACCTGAGATGGGTAATTCGTAGGCTTTCATCACCCATACCTTCTCGCTCACTCGCCTTTCTTCACTTCACCCACACCACACCTCACCCCCCCTCCCACCCCTCCTACACAGCCGCACGCCCCCTCCCCTGCCTCCCCTCGTCGTCTTCCACCTGGCGCAAGGCACGGTACCTGTACCCTTCATCTGCCTGCCCGTCTGTCTTGCTGCGATACCTTGTACTAGTGTGTAGGGTAGCCAGGCTATGTGGACCTCACAAGTCGACCTGGACGCCCTGCGAGGACGACAAGCACCCCTGCTTGTACTTGTGGCCCTTCGCACTCACGCTGCCAGCCCTGTCGTTGCTGCCGCTGCCAGCCATGTCATTGCTCCCGGCTTGCTGGGCAGTTCGGGCTGAGCTCCATCCATCCATTCTGTGATGCCTTTGGGCTACTTTTTATTTAATAGCTTCCTCTCCCCTTCCTCTGCCACATCTTGCCTCGCCATCCCGACTTCCAACAATCCAGACTTTATACAAGTTGCGACTTGTCGACTATCACCAAGCTTCCTCTTCTACATCTTGCCCCTCTATACAGCCTGATAGTCATCCCGACTACATATCCCCCACCATCCTCTTACACCAAGAAGCGCGACAACCACACAAGCCGCCTACAATGTCAATGTTCACAATGTCCCAACATCACCAATATGCCTACCCGGCAACAACTCCCGCTCCCAGGGCTTACTCAGGACACGGTACCAGCAGCGCCTTTAGCAGCTCCGCCAATCCTGATGAAGACTGGACCAAGATCTCCGACCTCGCCGAGCGCAGGAGAATCCAGAACCGCATTGCCCAGCGCAACTACCGTACGTCACAGCTACAGTCACCTAGCGATACAACCACACATACTAACACCTTTTACAGGCAAGAAGCTCAAGAGACGCCTCGAAGACCTCGAGAGACGCGCTGGCCAGGAAGGCACATCCCCCACCGAGAAGCCTGCGACAACCAAGAGCACCAAGACCAAGGCGGCGAGCAAGCAACAAAAGACGCCCCCACCAACCAAGACCATGAACCAGGGCCAATTCACTCCTCCTATGAACAACGACGACGAGGTCTTCTTCCAACAACAGCACTACGAGGATGACCGCGGAAGATCCATCACTCCTCCGTTCCTCACATATTCGACCTACCCCCCTGCCGAAGAGATGATCATGGCTCCTGCATACACCACACAACCGTACCCCATGTCAGCCGCCGAGTATCCCACATATCTCGCGGCAGCGGTACCGGTGACACTCCCGCCCATGAACCACTTCCAAGACGCCATCAAGCGCGAATCATACCACAGCGACGATGGTCTTTCTCCGTACATGAACTACGCGTACATGCCCAGCATGGATATGAACGCGCAAAGCTCCTACGACCCCACGAACCCTCATGTGAGTTATATGCGACAACCGCCTTCCCGCGATACATGATGCTGATGGGTTGTTGAGCAGACTCCTCCGCTCTCACACTCGTTTGACCACTCGGCCAACTGTTCCGACGCCGGCTACGAGTATCCCACAACACCACTGTCCATGCCGGGATCTCCTGGCCTGATCCAGCAATAGAGAACGCAGCGCGAAGGACGAGGAAAAACAAACATGCAACACCCTTATTTATCGGAGCGTAGCATTTCTGGCGACTTCAATTTGGGTTTCTATTACCACTTGACTCTTTTTATCCACCACCCCCCTTTTTTTTCCTTTTCGACATGTTCAGCGTGGCTTTGGCCAGGAGTTCGGGGGCGTCTGGATCGCATGTATCGGTCGAAGCGCTCGACCTCACGGAGATATGACTGGGAATAGGCGACGGCGTTTCACTTTGGGCAGACTGATCCCATTGAGGATCATCTTGTTACGAGGTTTGATACGGCAGTCCAAAATTGAAAAGACGAGATTGTCCCAAACATTCTTTGTACTATAGAGGACCTCAAAAAAGTTACACGATATCAATCACACCAGTGCATCACTCGTCTTTACCATTGTGGGATGTTCGTACTGATTATGTGTCCGATGACGAGATGGGCGTGTCGAAAGGGCAAACAGCCAAAGATGAGACAGCTCAGCAGTTACAAACAGCGAATTCTAGCCCGCCGTGGGGGAATATACGTATCGTAAGATTATACGAAGCGTGCAGGGAAGGCGGAGTTAAACATCAGTCTGGCCGAGTCGGGTGCGGAGAAAATAGCTTAAAGTTTCTTAACTCCTAGTATCCGTACTCCGTTCGGGACAAAGCTCGAGAGTCAAGATACAAACTACAAACTACCTTCGCGTCTAGGCCTGGGTCAAAGCATCTGACAAAGCACTTTGAAGAACAGCCCTTTTTGGGGATGACGGATGAGTGTGCTGTGTTCCTCGTAGCATGAGTAAAGACTTGAACATGAAAGCAGACTGGAAATTAGACCCCGCCCGTCAGTGAACTGGATGTCATGAGGATTCCTCTCCTAGATTACCTTACGTCTATAGAAAACGATGACTGTCGATGGATGAATAGACTGGGATTCCAGCATCTTGAGCAAGCAACAGTACACTATAGATGAACGATGTTGCGGTACCACCCACGAATGAGCCTCTGCCGCAAGCAAGGGCTCGACAGGGATCAGAGATACAAGACGTTGGAGAGAGCGGAATGGGGAACGAGGGGCGGAAAGCATATACGCGACAACTTGGTCCCGTTTCCTTCAACATACGCGCAGCAAGGCTCTCTAGAGGTACCTGAAACAAGATGACGAATACAGCAAGAGATTCACACGCAAACACGCTCTAAAATCATGAAATAGGAGGGATTCCTATGTACCTAGAGAAAAAGTTCCCGGCGGTCGGGATGTTCGCCCGTAGCCCGGTCGGATCTGGAATTCGTCATATGCCCCTTGCGTGTCTTGAGCCGGACACCGTGGCGGCGGAACGGCTTTGGTAATTGCGGCCTCAGCCAAAGTCCCACAATATAGCACTTGGGGAGGATTGTCTGTAGATAACTCACGTAGAATACATTGGGTCGGAAAAGAGGGAAGAGGAGGGGGTGGAGGGGCGCTTTCAGGAGCATAACCTTACTCGGCAAAGTCCGACCAGCCTGCCGCTGCCCTTCCCTTGGCTCCTCCATGAAGAGTATGATAGGAGAGCCTTGCACATGAAAAACGAAGCGGGAACATGTCAAGACCATGAGAAGGGTGTCTGAACGGATGTTGTAAAATGTTACGGATACGTCGTGCGTCAATAACGGGCGAAGCCGGGCGTCGAGAAGGCTTCAATAGATCATGTCAAAGAAGGGACTTTGGCTGCAGTTGCAGGCCATTCGCAAGGTGTGGCATGGCATGATATCAACACCTCCATGGGTAATGATGGATGGACGGGCGGCGGTTCGGGGATGGCATTCGGATGGGACCAAGTTCCTTTGGGAAACACGGGATTTGAACCGCCTTTCGCTTGTCACCCTTTTTCTTGCTGCGAGCTGCGTCTATTGCTCGATTGGGGAAGCATGGCCCATGGTCGTACAAGAAGAGGCCAGCCGGCCCACCCCCCAGGTTTATCAGTCGGGCTCTGGGTTTGAAGTGACACAAGGAAGGATTTCGAGTCGGCTGTCAGGTTGCGTACTGCTCTGTCACCCCCCCCCCCCCCCAGCAAGCGCAGAAAAAAGGACCAAGCATTAGGAGAGAAGCAGGAAGCTTGATAGTATGTGCAAGAGTTGCCGGCGACCGCATGATGTGTTACCAACGACTTTTCCTTACCGGTTGACAAGGGGGGCGCGTGAGCATGGTTTGGTGACACAGCATTTTGAACGTAGACGCAGAAGGGGACTGACTGCACGTATTGGAGGCGTTTTGCCGCGAAGCCCTTGAACGTAGGTATGTACGTTGAGGAGCAGGGGTGGGGTGTAATTGGGGCCAAACGGGCGGTCGGTTCGGTCTGGGGTAAAAGGTTATTGACGGCGCCATGTTCTCCCAAGGCACGGATTGATTAGAAGAGATTGGGGATTACCTATGGGAGACGCTGCCAGCTTTCCCACGGCCGGTCTCCAAAGCTTAGCAACTTTTGGACTGGTTCTACCAGTCTACTCTACTTGTATCCGAACGCCTACAGATGTTGTTCGACTTGGGGGGGAAGTCGCCGGAAAGTCGCCGAGGGCGGCAGAACGCCATCTTTTTTTTTTTTCAGGGAGGAGGAACACAACCGAGTGGGAGGGGAGTGCGGGAGAAGGAGAGAGAGAGGCTCGAGGGCGGCCGTGAAAGAGACGGGAGAGAGAAGACCCGGGGGGTGTGTGCCGTGTGCGTGCGTGTCTTCCCGGAGTTAAGCCCCGTGTGCCTTCTCAGTTCTACTATCCCGCGCCATGTCATGTTGTGCAATAGTAGAGTCTCCTCTTCTTAGCAAGGATTCCATCCGAAGTGCGAGTATCTGATGTAGGGAAGTAAATCTGTAGGCCGAGATGGATCGGGAACGATTTACTTTCTGCCGGACAACACTTTACGGTGCTCGGTTTACATTTCCAAGTCTAGAGACATATTCTACTGAGTTGTGCAATCCATCAGGATGATAACAGTTGTTCCTGTGATAATGCTGTGTACGCGGTGCCGGCAAATGTGCATAAGGAAGCCGCTAGAGGTCTCACTTTCGCGTGTCCTTTAAATAGAGTCTTGTCTCCCTGAAGGAAGGAAACACTTTCCCGCTACCTCGTTTCGACTCTCTGCCCTCTCTCTTCAAACTAAAAGAGGTAGCGCTCTTGCTAGTTACTGCGAACGTTGACGCTGCGCACGGCCTAGGCTGGTACGGCGGGTTGGATATGTCGGCGAGGTTTTGAAAGGTGCCGAAGTTGGACACTTGCCTTTCGCCGCTATGATGGCTGCTGAAATAACCAGAACTTTACTCATATTGATTCAGAATGACTGCCTACCGACACCTACTTCTAGGCCCCCGTGGCCCCAAAGGATCATCCGACAAATGGGGGATCGGGGTGAGTTGGCAACTGTGTGGGCTTTTCTTCCGTAGGTGGAAACGGAATCGGGACCGGAGCCGGAATAAGATCGGACGGAGTTAAGACCCCTTCGACAGCAAACGTACTATCCCAAAGTCCCCTTACGTCGGTGCAATGCCCATCTAAACTCAACAACGCCGGGGCAGTCAAGTCCCGGGTCTTGGATCAAGGTTTCTCGGAAAAAGAAGGCAATTGACTAAGGCGTGTTGTATACTTTATGTGTTGTTAGCTCATGCGTCTGAGTAGGCACGGTCTAGACCTCCTACAGTCTACCCCGATATTCAAACCAATTCTGTCCCGCTTTACTTCGTCTCAAAGCTCATCGGGGAGATCTAGTATCGTCATCATCCCGTCAAAGTCGACTTCAGCCAAGAAGCACATTAGGCCGCAAAAAGGTCAGGAAATATCGAACAAGCCTTGTCCGCCTCCCCGCCTTACTAAGTTACGAGTCCCCAGAACCGCCATCTTCCTGGTTACACACTCGGAGCCGATCCGGCAGAAGACGGGGGATAGGCATGGCCCCCCGCCAGCTCGAACGCCCGTCCCCTCAATCCCATCACTGCGCTAAAACAACATCCGTCCACGGCCCTTTCATGCCTTCCCAAAGGGCGCAATCAAGACAAGCACTTGGGATCTGCCTTACAATAATGGGGATGGTCGGGGGAGCTTGCGGAGCACGGAGTAGAATATGATTAGTGATAGACAGACGCCATACTATTCAGGTGCAACTCTGTCCCCACAAGGTTATCAAAGTCAATACCCCATCAGCAACGAGGAACACCCCCCTTTCATTGCCTCACATCGTCGTTTCCGCCAGTTCGAAAGTGAGCCAGATCATCCCAAGCAGCATCGTACCGCCCCGCACCGAGGCGATGAATCTTTCAACTTGAGACGACGAGAAAAGTCATCCGAATCCGTCGAGGCTGGTATTAAGTTAAGCCTCAGCTATTTTTCGACTTTGGCTCGCGCTAAGCTCTCAGAGGACGTGTGAAGCTCGAGCCCATCGTGCCGTTCTTGCGCCAGCAGTTGTCTTTGGGACAATGACACAACACACACACACACACCCAAGGCTTGTGTCTAAACCCCCAAGATTTCTTTTTGCTCGTCATTACATCTTAAACACTTGAGTTTCGCGCTCGCCTTCGCGGCCTCGCCCAGCTCGCCCTCTCAGCTCGCCGCCGGCACCACTCGCGCTGAACCGCAACATTTGATTTTCAACAAAAAAACCATCGTCGGTTGTAGTCAAGTTTCAGATGCATTCTAGAGTCTGTAACCCCCCTCCCCGATGACCTAGCTTGTAAAACCTTTGGTAGCCGTGAGGGAAACTTGTTCAACCTCTCCGAACGGGTAGGTAGACAATTGTCTCGACTGGCTGGCTCGAAGCTTGGTACCAATTGCCCTAGCGTTTCTCGGCCTTCCTTCCTGGCTCCTTGGCTGCACAGGCCGTGACGATCTCCGCAGTCTGTCACTCTGTGTCTTGATTCAAAGTTCTCACAATCCGCCCTTTTCCAAATGCATGGGCTCATCATCCCGGTGATTCGCGGTAACTTGAGACAATGACCCAAAGATCAGCATGTCATTCCCGCCTCCAAGGCCACTACCTCCTTTTGCCGATTACGGAAATCGACACCATGGGGAGTTCATTGATCGCAGGCAGCAATATGAAGGAGGAAGGATGGACATCACAGCCGTTGTACAGCCACAGTCCATGAACTGTAGGAGCTTAGGTAACCAATCTGCTGAGCCACAATAGCTACTCAGACCCACTCGAACGGTCATGCTGCACGCCTTTGTCCACTCCTCCTATTGGCTAGGATTCACTCGAGAGCTCACCAGCCTCGCGAACGCTCAGATGAAGTCGTCATGATCCTTCGCGCTCTTCAACGACAATTGCCTGCCGTCGACCGCTCACGACACAGCCCTATCCTAGAGCCAATTCCGTCCCAATTGCAAAAAAGTTGGATCCTACCACCATTTTGGCCGGTTATCTGCCAATTGACTAGCTCAAACCTCCGTGCCATCAGTTCTGTACCGAACCTACGCCCCAGTGCAACTGCCGATATAGCCACAGTTCTGCCAACCTGCCAAAGCGCACATCATGCCTCCCGACTGGAAATTGCTCTCCCTTTACGGTGGTGACAAGTCAGTGTGCCCAAGTTTGATGAACAAGCGTTGCTCCTGGTCATGCCTGACCATCCGGCCTCGTACAACTTTCCCCTTTTGAACTTGCCTGGTTGACCATCATCCGCAGCCCTTGGGACTCAAGCCTCTGGACCGATTCAGACGACAGAGTACGTGGTGGTAAGAGCCAGTCTCATTTGCACTGCGAGTCCCCGGAAAAGGCCGAGTTCTTTGGCAACTTGGACATCACCGCCCTAGGAGGAGCGGGATTTGCGTCGCAGAGGACGCTCGGCACACTCGACCTGGACTTGAGTCAGTATGACGGGCTTGCCATCAAAGTCTTGAAGAGCGATTCCAAGAAGTACACAGTCACTATCAAGGATGAAATCCTCCCGCCGAGAGAGGACGGCCGCGACCAGAGTACAATTAGCTGGGAGTTCGACTTTGTACCCGAGGCTGGCGAAGTGAAGATCCCTTGGGATCAATTCAAGGCAACCTACAGAGGTAGGGATAAGCCTGACGCCAAGCCACTGGACATTGCCAACATCAAGAGAATCAGCTTCATGATGCGAAGGTAAGATGCACGTTTAAGTAGGAGTCCCTGAATGTTGTTGACACCATCGCAGCTTCTTTGGAACCCAATCGGGTGATTTCAGCTTCACCGTTGGCTACCTTGCCGCTTTCAGCAACCGCCGCGAGTCATCGGACTCCGATGTTTCGTTCCAGAAGGAACGTGTCGCGTCACCTGCACCGGCACCAGTTAAGCCGTCATCGTGGTTGGGTTGGCTTTGTGGATGGGATAGACGAGCCTAAGATGCTATGGTGGCTGGAAAAGCGGATGGCAAGGCTGCGGCGGGGTAGAAATCACTGTTACGTTTAGACATCTCAAGATGATCAATCCATGGCGTCAGGGTAGGCATGTGGATTTCATTCCATGAGGCTACATAGAGCTTTAAGCAATCTGGCCCAACACCTTGATCAAGTCCGCCGTGACACCCATGGCCGTGACATCTCCACCAGCACCCGCACCCTGGACGATGAGCGGGTTGCTGCCGTAACGTTCCGTGTAGAAGCTGATGATGTTATCGCTACCCTTGAGGGCAGCGATGGGGTGAGATGCGTCGAACTGCTCCAGGCCAACCTTGACCTGCTTGCTCGCGACGTCGATGCTGCCAACGAAGCGAACGACCTTGCCCTGCTTTTCCGCAGCAGCCTTGGTCTCCTCCATTTGGCTGTCAAACCCGGGCAGCTTCTGCAGGAACTCGTCTCCGCTTGAGCACGACTCGAGCTCCTTGGGAATCAAGCTTTGGACGGGGAACGAGGTGGGCGACTCGACGGGGAGACCCGCCAGTCTGGCGAGAATGGTGAGCTTGCGAGCGACGTCGAGGCCGTTGAGATCGTCTCTGGGGTCAGGCTCTGTGTAGCCCAGCTCCTTGGCCTTGGCCACCTCGGCAGACCACTTGCCGCCGGCGCCCGATGTCGGAGCGAAGGAGTTGAAGAGGAAGGACATAGTGCCGCTGAAGACACCCTCAATCTTGGTGACGCGGTCGCCCGTGTCGACGAGGTCCTTGAGCGTCGAGATGACGGGCAGGCCCGCGCCCACAGAGGACTCGTGGTACACCTTGGCGCCGGAGGTCGAGGCCGCGCTGAAGATGTCCTGCCACAGCTTGTAGGAGCCGGAGAAGGCCTTCTTGTTGGGGGTCACGATGCTGATTCCCTTGCCGAGGAAGACGGGGTACGCGTCGGCGACGTCCTGGGAGCTGGTGTTGTCGACCAGGACGACCTTGGCCGGGGCGGCGGCGAGGTACTCGGCGAGCTGGGGGAGGGCGGGAGGCGCTTGCGAAGCGCGGGACAGTTCCTCGATGGCGCTGGCGAAGGGGGTGGGAGTGTACTTGGCATCGTACAGGGCCTTCTTGCTGGTCGAGATGTAGATCAAGTTGAGCTTCGGCGAGGGTCTACGGGTAGCCAAGGCCTCGAGCTGGGACAGGAAGCACTTTCCGACGCCACCAGCACCTGTAACACACCAATAGGTCAACACAAGCTCGTTGCTACGTGCAGTGGGAAGAAAGAGAGTCCCGAGGCTGTCTCTGGAACCGGGCAATTCTTACCAATGATGGCGATGAAGACTTGCTTGGGGGAGGCCATTGTGGATTGCTTGATGTGCTACCGTCAATTGACTGAAGATGTAATTGCAAAAGAGTATGTCATGCAAGTGTACGTTAGGAAATAGACTCATTTTCGAAGCCCCTCCGACCGCGGGGCAGCTCTTAGTGGGGTAAATCGCCATTCAGACCCCGATAATCTTTCGGTGAGTGCGGGGTCGGTGTTAGACTCACCGAGAAAAATACCGGCCTTCTCACCGAGCGACCGGATCCGGCAGACGGGCATGTCGGCATTCCGCACCTTTCTGAAGGCCGAAGCCCAAGGAGCTTGGGCCCCCCTTGGCCAGGTCGTGTCGTCATTCACTCCAGCCTCACCAGGAGTGAGCTTCGGCCGAGTGGACTTCATACAAAGCCATAGGGCTGACTCTGTAGCAAGCTCAATTCGATTCGGCAGCTCATAAAGAGTTACCTGTCCCCCGATCTTACAACGTGGGAGGGAGCAGGCGATATTCTCGCACAACCATCATCCACAATGTCCTTACTACAGTCCCTCCTGCACCTCACCAACTTCAAGAACCCACTGCTCCGGACTCTGATCCCCGCCGTTTCGGCAGCGTATGCGATCCAGGCGGCCTTTGCTGTGCCGTCAATCCTCGCCCAAAATGAACGTTTCTACGACTTCTCCGGGTCGCTGACCTACCTGTCCGTCACCGCTCTGAGCTTATACCTGCCCTCCCTCCGTGCCAAATACTCGTCGGCCGTTGCTAGCTCGGCACCGCTCCCTGGTCTGTTCGAAGCATTCACCAAGCCGGGTGGCGTGGGAGCCCTCAACTGGAGACAGGTTGTCATCAGCGGTGCCGTCGCCTTCTGGGCTGTTAGACGTAATATCCCATTCCTTTGTCCGCGCGTGGCCGTCAAACACTGACTGATGTGAACCACAGTCGGATCGTACCTCTTCCAGCGCATCTTGGAAGAAGGCAAAGACTCTAGGTTCGACGAGATCAAAAAGTCCCCAGCCAAGTTTGCCGGCGCCTGGTTCGCCCAAGCGACCTGGGTCTCCCTCTGTCTCATGCCCGTCATCGCCCTGAACTCTGTGCCCGCCGCCGCCTTTGCCTCCCTTCCCGCTTTCAAGATCACGGACGCCATTGGTCTGTTTGTCTACGTCGCTGGGTTCGCTTTCGAAATCACGGCCGACAGGCAGAAGAGCAAATGGTTGCGCGAGAAGCGCGCAAAGGCCCATGATGAGGAGTTTATGACCAAGGGTCTCTGGAGTGTCAGGTATGTTTCGCAGTAACACCTGGTTGTTGCCCGTGTCACCACATCGCATGCGACGTTGCCAAACGGCGTGAGAACAAGAAAAAAGCTGACACTTTTCTCTAGCCAATACCCCAACTACTTCGGCGAGATGTCACTATGGACCGGTATCGCGACCGCGGCCGCTGGAATCCTCGTGACGCAACCAATTCAATTGGCACTCGGTTTGTCGTCTGGCGTCACCGGACCAATTACTGCGATGGCCATGTCCTATGTGAGCCCGGCCTTCGTCAGCTTCCTTCTCCTCAAGGTGTCCGGAGTGCCCATGAGCGAAAAGAAGTACGACAAGCGCTACGGTGACCGCAAGGACTATCAAGAGTGGAAGAAGAACACACCAAAGTTGTTCCCCAAGATCTTCTAGGTGGAGAGCATCGTGGTACGATCGCGGACATGCCCGTGTTCAATAAACTTGTTGGTGGTTTGGAAATACTCAATAGTTGGCGGGTTCATCTGCTTTACGTCACTCAAACCTGTAATTCATTCAATGCATATCCAATTCCTGGCCAACTCAAGGTTACGATCTACGGCCAGATAATTACACTTGAGCTTGCAACAGGGAATTCTCAATCCGATCCCTCCTTGGCACGTAGCCAGCGATCCTTATGTTCATCGCATTTGTCCCAAAGCGCCCACATTAAAGAAGAATAAACCACCCGCCGGGTTTCAGTAAATCATGAAATGCGCCGTGTTCTCCCACATTTTTGGTGTTGGATGGTTTGTAGCACGAGGACACACCAGTCGGTCTCCCAGCAATACACACAGTTTACTGGTGGAACTTCTTAACCTTCTCAACCTCGTCGAAGCTGCCCATGAAGATTCCAGCCCTGTCGTGGATGCCCTCGGGGACGACGTCCAGCATTCTCCTCATTTGGCTGTCTACCGCTTGGCCACCGGCTGTGATGTGCGTTAGCAAGCTGTAATCAAACGTTGGTGTACGTAGTCTGCTACTAACCATTCTCAAATACCAACGCCATGGGTGCGCACTCGTACAGGATGCGAAGCTTGCCCTTGGGGCTCTTCTTATCCGCCGGGTAGGCAAAGACACCACCGTACAGCAACGTGCGGTAGGCGTCAGCCACCATGGAACCAATGTACCGCGCGCTGTACGGCTTGCCGTTCTCCTGCGGCGTCTTCAACGAGTTGAAGTAGTTGTTGGTGCTGTCCTCCCAGTAGAGCGAGTTACCCTCGTTGACCGAGTAGATGGCGCGGGCCTGGGGCAGGCGCATGTCCGGGTGGGTGAGGATGAACTCGCCGACGCCGTTGTCGAGAGTGAAGCCGTTGACGGTCCCGCCCTTCATGGTGAGGACGAGCTGCGTCGAGGCGCCGTACATGGTGAAGCCGGCGGCCAGCAGCTCGGAGCCGGGCTTGAGGACGTCCTCCTTTGTGCCGGTGGAGCCCTCGGGCAGCTTGTGGATGCCGAAGATTGTGCCGACGGAGACACCGGCGTCCAGGTTGGAGGAGCCGTCGATGGGGTCGCAGGCGACGGCGTAGCGGGCGCCGGTGGCGTCCTTGAAGAAGATGATTTCCTCCTCCTCTTCTGACACGAGCAGGGCGCATCGGCCGGAGGATCTCATGGCTTCGATGAAGAGGTCATTGGAGATGACGTCGAGCTTCTTTTGGTCGTCGCCCGTGATGTTGGAGGAACCGGCCAGACCCGTCAGGTTGACCAGGGTAGCTCGGCGGATGTAGTATGCGATGGACTTGAAGGAGAATTGCAGGGCGTGGCACAGAAGACTAGAACCATTGTTAGAAGCTATCACGAGGGGTTGGAAGGTCGTAGGGTACCCACGTAAAATCTCCGGTGGCTTCCTTGTGCTTAGTTTGCTCTTCCGTCAGGAAACGGGTCAAGGTGATAATGTTGGTGTTGATCTTCTCGGTCTCTTGTTCACCGGCGTTCGTTGTGTAGGCCGACATGATGGGCTAGATTTTGGGCTTCCAATATCGAGTCTTAGCTATCACTGGTGCAGTAGGATGGCCTGGATTGCTTGTAAACAGACGAAGAACTTACGGAATAATTCCAATGGAGGACGAGGGGTTGACACTTGCGATGGCGGGGTTCACGGGAGCTCTAACAAAGAGTGTTGCGCACTGACACAATGGTTCGGGATTTAAGCCGAAGGATAGAAGATGGAAGATGAATGTTGTAGGAGGGAGGGAGAAGGGAGAAAGAGAGAGAGAGAGGAGAGTAGTCAAGAGATGGGATCACGAAGGAGAGATTGAAGGAAAAGCGATCTTGTTTGTAGTCCGGGCATGGACTATTACTAGGTAATTACCTGAGACTTCATTCATCAGCGTTGCCGGAAGCTCTCGTGTGTGTACCAAGGGGTCCTCTCATGGCCCATGGGCAAAACATGGTCCATGGCCCAGCCATGGGAAAATGCCCCTCAGTTCGGCATACGGCTATCACAGGGCCACACGTCCTATTATCGCGCTCGATCCCGAGTCACCACGACAAAGTGGAGCCAACCGCAGGCACCTCCGGCCGAGGGGAACCCGAGACATGGGGACGCGGGCGCAACAAGCAGAGGACGCAAGGCGCCCCTCGAGGATTTCTCGGAAACCCTCGGCGCGGTGTGCAGCGAGCACACACGATGGCTGCGGCAGTCTACGGGTGGCTTCTGGCAAGAGACTCTGAAAGGGCGGCTGGGCTGGAACAGAGAACCTTGCCTTTGGCGGGGGCGGGGGGCACCTTTGTGTGGGCAACGCCAACTTAGCAACACTAACAACTCGCGTCGAGGGGGAGGGGCTCGCTCTGGAAGGGGGCAACTCTTTCGGCGATAGGAGAAGAACAGGTAGAGGAGCGGCAGAGAAGGACGGCGGATAAGACATGACCGATGGACGGGGTGACATCATGCGGGTGATGGGATGAATGTATTCTGGACCCTCGCACCTTTCTTGCTTTTCAAGCCGTTGGATTGGACGGATATGTATTGATGATGTCTCTGTGTTCCGCTGTTTGCGCTCACGGCTTCTCCCTCCTTGATGTGGAAGTTCTGAGTGATATCCGTGGTTTACACATCTCCTCGATGTGAAGAAGCAGGTGTTGACTTTGTCCGTATTACTACGTATGCTCCTTAGTTGGGTTTGACAGGACCGACGGGGTGGGGCATGGATGAAGCGAGAAGTCACTGCGATTCCTGGTGCCAGATGGAAACAGAAAGACACGAGAAGTGTGATGGATTGGGAACGACAAGGGGTTATCCGGGAACCCACTGCTTCCAATTACCATAGGAGGAAAAACTAGTCATTGTGTAGTCATGGGAGTTCAGCCTCTCCATACTGGATGTGGAGAGGAAGATCCAATATCCGTACCTTACCTCATGGAGAGGAGTATTTGGTTGCTCGTGACTGAAAAATGATAAAGAACCAAAAGAAAAAGGCTTCAACGTTTCATTATCAGGCGTGGCCAAGGCCCCTGGCGTGCTGGTTACCTACCTACCTTACCTTGGCCTCCAAGGAAACTATCCATGGGCACTTTGTAATTGAGATATAAGTTGCTGATGACTGGCCCCTTGGGCCTTGGGTAAAATGTACTGCCGTCAATTGTCACGGGTCACCCAATTTCCCCTGCGAGCTGCCCCATTTCATTAGCTAAGCTGACCGGGCCTAAAACGTCCCTTAGTGCGAAGACACTGAGAGAGAGCAGAAAGTCTTCAGGCACGTGAGAGCCTTCTCCGCACCCCGGCTCCTGTTGGTCGCTCTTGCTGAGGTATGTTGCAGCTGCCCGGCTGCACGTCCTCCAGGTCTGTCTCCCTGTGCCCCAGCAGTCTGCCAGAGGAATAACCCCAAGCACCCCAGCTCTGGCGATGTCTCGGGTTCTTTGGCGGACCTCGGCATGTGGCAGCTCGTTCTTTGAGCCGGTCGGCTTGCCCAATACTTCTCTCTAAACCGCACCACCCCCGATAAGACTACCTATTGCCATTTCGATACCATACTTGAGAACTACAACCTCCGCGTGAAGACCAGCCCACACATCCATCTTACGCCTGCTTCCCCATCTAAAAAAAAGACCTCCATAATCCAGCAAAACACCATCTAATCCACCACATACCAATCTTCATCGCGCATCGCCCATCCATTTCATCCAGTGATTTCTAATACCCCCATCAGAACCAGAACACCGCCCAACATGGTCGCCGACGCCCTCATCTACCACCCGTCCGTATCGCACTACAACAAGTTCGTAGCCACCACCGTCGGCCGCGACAAGATCCTCCGCACCCTCCAGTACTTTGCCCGCTTCTACGCCTGGTACCTCTTCCGCACCAATGGCTCCAAGGCCGAAATTGCCCCCTGGGACGCCATCAAGAAGCAGTTCGGCCTGACCCGCAAGATCATGCGCATCGGCAAAAACGTCGAGCACTTCAAGGCCGCCGCCGTCGCATCCGACGCGAAAACAATGGACCCCGTCCTCCGCTACGCCGCCGTCGGCCGCCAGCTGGGCTACGCCGGCTACCTCACCTTCGACGCCGCCACCGTCCTCGACGCCGCCGGCATCAAGAAGTGGGAGGGTGCAAAGAGGCTGCAAAAGGAGGCCTACCGCTTCTGGGCCATCGGCATCATCTTCAGCGTCGTCGCCCAGACCTACACCCTCTACCGTCTCCAGCAGCGCGAGGCCAAGGTCGACAAGAAGGAGGGCGAGGGTGTCGTCGAGGCTAAGAGAATAGCAATGTACGTTCCTATAGTTCGCCCCTTGAATGCACTTCTCGTGCTCTAGCAACAGCAAGCTGACAAGAAACAACAGTGAGCGCGCCGCGGGCCGCCTGCAACTTATCTCCGACCTCTGCGACTTGACCGTCCCCACCTCTGCCCTCGCATGGGCCAACTTCGATGACGGTCTTGTCGGCCTCGCTGGTACCGTAAGCAGTTTGATTGGCGTGTATACCCAGTGGAAGAAGACGGCATAATCGCGTTGTCGCATCGAAGGAAGGGCCGTGCGTTGTATATGTATGCTTGTGATAATTGTGCTGTATGTCGGATAACGAGATGCGTCGTCGGAGCGACTGGTATTTGTACCTGTCTACTGCGTTGAAGAGTGAGAGGAGGGAGATGATTGAGCTTATTTGAGGCAGTGCTTTTGAAATCTTTTGGGCGTTCGGAATGTTCCTAGCCTGGGCTGTAGGCATGGTGCCATGATGGGCGGGACAAGGTAGGCAGACTGCTAGGTACTCCCCGCTGTCGATGCGGACATGACAGTCGGCTTGGATACCAAGTAAACCTCTTTCATCATCATCGAATATTCAAGGTATCTACGAATGGATAACATGTATTGCACTTTGTGATGGCAAGTGTCTGGACCACCCTCAGCCGCCATAGTGGATCCGGTAGAAACCCTGAGCGTCCGGCTTCAATAGAGATGCCATTGTTAATCAATCTGAAAGCCAGTCTCGAAAGACCAAGATTTTGTGCTCATAAGGCGGATACGCCTATTCATTTTTGATGGATATCCATGCATGTAATCGTACAATATACATCAGGCACTCGGCATTTTCCCCCTCCTGATCTTAACGGACCCTACATTGTTGCATCCGCAGCTATGTTGTTGATGATGCTTTGACAGAAATCGCAATTTGGAACAAGCCTGGGACGTCTGCGTGACGAGCAAACTACCTCATCCCACTACCACGGAACACCGCTTGTTGTTATTGATATTTACCAATCTGGCTTGAGCCATTGAAGTGGAGGTGCTTCCAGGATCTATTCAGAGTCAAGGACAGCCCCTATGAGGCAAGTTTATGAGCAGGAGTGAGTTACCAGTAACGGCCACCACGTTCATACTCGCGAGGGTACCCATCACGCGGGTAACCTGCTTCCCTAGGAGGGAAGTCTCTGGGAGGGCGGTCGTACGGCCCTCTGCCGTTGACATAGGGGTCGGGTGGCGGGGGGTAATCCCGCCTGTAAGGATCGTCGTAACGGCCTCGCGGAGGGGGATAATCGTCCATGGGGCGACGCGGAGGAGAGCGGTAACGAGCACGCTCGTCATAGTACTCGCGGCGGGGACTACGCTCACGGTATCCCTCGCGATAACCATCTCGGCGTGGACTGTAGCCTCTCGGGGGACCACGTCGGTCGTAGTCGTCCACTGGAGGCGGGTAGGGTCGACGGCCGCCGCCGGGCGAACGAGACCGAGCGCCGCTGCGCATGTCGCCGCGAGGCGGCATGTCCGGTTGTGTCTGGTAATACGTGAGTATAAACGTCCTCTCACCATCAGTTATCTACTTTCGCTTACGTCTGCTATACAGGTGACGCGGCTTCCCTTGAATTCTCGGCCATCAAGCTTCTCTACGGCGGTTCTCAAGTCCGCCGCAGTCTCGAATTCAACGAAGCTGATTGGTTTCTTGGTCAGCAAACGCACGATTGCAAGTAATGGATTGAGGGTAACATACCCGCGCCCGTTGCCGTCGCGAGGCGTTTCCGAGTAGACAACGTCAAGGCTGGACTGACGAGCAAAGTCTTTGAGGTCCTATATCCAGAATCCATGTAAGTTGGTGTCCAGGATCGGTAAGATGGGCCGAAGAGGGCTGATGATCCAAGTTTCATAGACCAGTCGGCGGCAAGCCAATGGGATTGAAGCCAGGAGTGGTGTCGTCCGGCATTGGAGTTCCGTCGCTGCTTTGGCAGGCCCGCGCCGATTCAAAGAAACGGCCATGGACTTGGGAAAGCAAGTTTCAGGAGCGCAGCACGGTCCGGACTAGTCGACTGACAGGCCGCCGATGGCTTGGAGCTGAGGCTACACAGCATGCCGAAAAGTCCACAGTCCACAGTCCACCTCGAAGGGTACGATGAAGGTCCAGGCGCGCCTCAGGCGCATAAGAGAAGGGAATCCGGGAATCCAGCTTAGAGAATGGGGAGAGAGCAACAGACCTGCCAACTGGTATCGGTGGGAAGTCCCGTAATCTGCATTCGGTGGGGAGTGCGGCGAGGCCTGGGAGGAGCGCGCTCATTGTTGCCAAAGCCACCGGCACTGCCGCCCTCCCTGTGACGGGTTCCACGGGCAAATTGTACAGTCAAGCGTTCGCCCATGAAGTCGGATCCATCTTTTCAACGCTATGGTTAGCGCACCAGAAGTGAAGGGATATCGTTGAATGGTGGAACGGCGCAATACGACATACGGAAGGCTGGGCAGAGAAGAAGTCAGCAACAGGGTAATAGGTATAGTCGCAATAGTAACAACAGCTAGGGGCGACTTACCAGGAACAACATCGCGAGCATCCATGGCATCCTTGTACTCGATGAATCCGAATCCGTTCATGAGCTTTATTTCAGTGATTTCGCCAGTGCCATGGGTCGCGAAATGGGCCTCGACATCAGCCTTGGTGGCTGCGAAGGTTAGCAGGTTGCGACAAGAACGCGCCGGGCGATGCGCAAGGCTGAGCTCACCATTGCGAGGGAGGTTTCCCAGGTACAGCCTGGTGGAGGATACCTCGGTCATATTGGCGATAAATGTGATGCGTCCTTGGGAAAACAGTCAGGGTCGGTCGTGGATAGAAACAAAAGTTGGCCCAAGATTCCGGCCTGGATGGGAGAGGATTCGCGGTGGCGATGGTCCGCAAACCGGGCAGGGAGAATGTGTCCAAAGGGTTTCCGGCGCAGTACTATTGGAATAGCTGCGAAGGCGAAGATTCGGGCGACTAGGCCGGGAAGGGGGAGGCTCCGACGGTAGAGGCCAGTTTGGTTGAAGCGCAAGAAATCGGGTATACTGACGATTCAAGAAGACGAGATGCCTGGTCTAGTCGTCGTTCGACGTATGCGAGAGGGGAATTGAGAATCGATGGGGGCGTTTGGAGTGTGGGGAGATTATGAGGACCGGAATGTTGACGCTGACCCGATCGGTCGAGTCGCGATTGGTCGGAGCAGAAAGAGAATCTGACTGTGTGAGAGGACGAAGGCGCGGGAGCCGGGAGAGAAGGAAGAGGAGGGGTTTTGGAATGGTTATGGTTGTGGTGGTTTGAGGAGAATGGGACAAAGTGAGAGAGAGAGAGAGAGGCAGGTGTGTGGTGGTCAGGCAAAGGTATTTGATATTGCTTGGCACCCGTACCTCAGGTAGCTAAGGGTACCTTGGGCAGGCGGTCATGGAAGTTCCTTACCTCTGCGAATGTTCCACTGTACAAATAGCGGGTACCTTTGAGAACCTATGTTCCTTGCGATCCAGTACGGGTTACGGAGTAGGCAAGGCAGGACGAAGAGGAAGAGGAAGAGCTTGATTTCTTCCTTTTCCTCTTGAATGGAAAAAAAGAAGGAGCAGGGAAGCCAACAGGAGCTTTGAATTCGAAAAGAAGGAGGGTGGAGCGAAAAAGAGAAACAGACATGGGCCTAGAGGGGAGGCGAGGAGGAGAAGATTGAACCTAAGTGTGTGATGGGCCGCCAGCCGGGCCCCAGAGCACAGCTGCGGCCTTCTGTTTCTGGTGTCCCAAGGTACCTTTGAGGAGAGCGCCTGCCCCCCGGACTAGAGGTAGAATCAGCCAATGATCGCGTTTGATTCCGTCTCCTCAACTTTCATGATCCTGGTTCGTACCTGACAATGGTGGGAACCTGAGGTAAGGTAGGGAACTTCATTCTAAGAAGGTACGGAGTACGGAGTACGGATACCTGAACACAGGTTCTTTTATCCATACGGAGTACGTACTGCACAGAGTGGCAGAAGAGCGAATGCCTTGTTTCCCTCCATCACTTAAAATACCCATCCATTTCTAGCTAGAGCTCTTGCACGTGAGCACTGAGTTTAAGGATAAGGATCTCCTTTCAACGACTTGTCTGCTACGACACGTATCGCATGCATATTTCGGGAAAATGAAATCTGAAGCCTCTAGCTTGTTGGATATTTGAGCTCGAGGATGGTACCTTGCCGTTTTGCAAAAATCAGTTACATCGCGCTCACCCGGCTCAGGTACGGGAACCTCGCTAGACCAGGGTCTACGAAAGGGGAACATCATGCCCGAGGGCTCGCTTTCATCCGATCAAGCTTCTATTCGGCTCCACGAGTCTATTTCATCAGGAATCTTATGGTAAGGAGGGCTGTCAGTTTTCGTGAACCATAGTGTTCACAACAGCTCATGTTTGCGACTGATTCAGGGAAAGACGCTCTACATGTACCTATTTGTACTTGGTCATCGATCCCGGCTAAAAGAAAGGCATTCCAATTCCCGGCTAGCTCATGCACGTCGAATCTGACACTCTTCAGTTTGAAGGCCGTCACTTGTGGCTAGCTCCAACGGTCCCTGTGGCGCTTCTCCTCCTCCTCCTCCTCCTTCTTCTCTCCAGCTTTAATTTCTTTTACTTCTTCAATGGATTCCACTGTCCGAGGAGAGGAGGAAGTAAGGGAGGAGTCGCCGGCGCAACTTCAAACTCCCCTAAAGGTCCCAAAACAGAGAGGGAACGAAATAAGGAAGATCTCCGTCAAGGATAACAACCTCCTCTTGGCTTCGGTCCTATTCCGACTTCCAACATCGCCCTGCCCTGCCGGACCTCGGATGCGACGTACCTTATCCACGTTGGTTACAAAGTGAATACGGGATCCACGAGTGGTTTTATTCGGTTCCCATAAGGAATTCTCAGCGAGAGATAGAGACAACAGAGATACATAGACCGGGCGACCTCGTTTCCAGATCGGTGACACCCCCGGTGCCCAGACACCCCCTTTATCCCGTGCGACCCGCTGCATCTGGTAACCAAGTCCAGGCTGTCCCAGGACCTGTCCGTTTCACCAACCCGCAATAGGTCAATCGACACTAGGCAAAGTCTCAATTCATAGTCACATTCGAAGAAAGACAAAAAAAAACAAGCCGAGATTACAGTGACCATGAGGAAAATCGGAAGATCAATGGCAAGGAGCCAAGTATGCCAAGATCGTTCGGATACTGCAGCAGGCTGACTCTCCCTCATACTTTTAAGACTGTGTGCGACCAACCAACTTCCACCACTCTCCACCCTCCCTCCCGCAACAGCTACCCATGGCAAATCAGGGATGACATTAGAGAGCGAGTCGGTCGCATGCATGCCATCTGATTACACTACCTACACTGGTACATCTGATACTCTGCAGACTGATCGTAGTCAATTCCTAGAAAGTTGTCGCCCCCCGAAAGCTCGATAATCCGATGTATGCTAAAGTCAACTCGACCCAACTCATTGTGAGCCGCCAGTGACCAGACCAAGACATCCATGAGTAACACTAAATGTTCTTAGTCACCAAGACCTCAATCGAGGCGTCCGCTCCCAGGGATTGTGGAATCCCGAAACCCGAGGTCAGCCTGGCCTCGAAACTCATAACCCAGCAAAGAAATCCATCCTCACCCGTATCCGACCTGGTCCTGTAACAGGGAGCGCCTCTGCTCTTCCTATTCCACTAAAACCCCCCCCTTCCCTCTGCTCACTTGTCTGTCAACGTGAAGCAAATCTGGATCATTGCCCTCGCTGATAGAAACTTCAGATCCAACCGCCCCTGGGCTGTGTGCAAGTTGCGCATCCGCGGGCTGGCTCACATCTTCAGAATTGTCACCAGTGAGTGAAAAGGGGGCTTCTGCCTAGCTTCTCCATGTGATTTTACGTACTTGACTATAGCTCGAATCCATCGCGATTCTTGACGAATTGTCTACTCTCCCGTAGACCTCGTGATGGATACAGTTTCGTACCTCTCGTCGCTTCATTATATCTTTCCGTGAGTAAATTCCCGTCTGGATTTTTGCATTATTTGCCGCTTCTTGGCCCGTCCACCTTCCTCTTTCCTTTCGTGAGTGTGTATGTACGTAGTCCCGGACGAAGAATTAATAAACCAGACGCCTGCTCATGCAACCTCATAATCGTCTCCGACATATGCCGGGTTGGGCTGAATGATCGTACTCCCAGCGGACAATACGCCGCGTCATCTGTCAGCGCATCCGAATGGTATCGAATTGACCAAGTAAGAAAACCCAGCGCGTCTTAACCAAACAAAGTTTCCACCAGTTCATCCATGAACGTAAACGCCAAGTGTGCGCTGAGAACAGACTTCTTGTTAGCCATATGACAACCAACGGCATTTCAGCTTCGGATCAACAACTTACTTGAGTCTCGAATTATTGAAGGTTGCAAACACACGCCGGCTGGCTGCTTGAGCATTTACTCTTCCGACAACGCTTCCTGCTAGGTCGGGTATAAGAGTAGCCAACATCAAGCTGGCTTCTGTTCTCGTCTTCTTCTTCTCTGATGCCGTCCTCGGTTGCTTGTTCTTATTCATTTCACCGCCGGGCCACATGCTATCCCTGAGTAGGGCAATATACTTGATGATGGCATCTTCCTGCACGAGCATCTTGACATTGTCTCGAACTTTGCGCTCAATCGTGCCGCCTAGTAGCTGTTGAAGGACAACCACCACAGCACGCCCTCGAAGCCAGTTGTTGCCTCGATTGAGTTCAAAGACTTCCAGAAAGATGTCGCAGATAGGTTTGATGAAAGACTCCAGCTCCTTGTTCTCGAAGGCGTTCAGTTCAGCCTCGGCCTCGGCAGCGCTGACACCGTCCTCGTTGACAGGCAGTGGCATAGCGTTCAGCTGGTTGGTGGCTGCCGCAATGAGATTTTGACCAGCCACAGATAACTGATCCAAGACGGGAATGTTGCCTAGGATGTCTTCCATTCCATCCGTAACGGAGTCATAAAACCTTGTAATCATGTCTTTCTTGTCCTCGCGATCAACAAGGTCTTGACCTTGCGCTATCACACTTTGTGACAAGAATGCTCGCAAGTCCCGACTCCTGCAGGCCTCTGGAAGCCCAAGAAGATCTTTGAGATATTTCTCAAGGGCGTCCCGTCGTTTGCGAAGAAATTCACTCTGGAACTTCATAACCATCCTTCGCCTGGGAAATTCAAGATTGCGAACAGACGGATATCTTGAGCGAAGTTTCTGGTGCAACTCATGGAACTCGCTATACCGGCGAGTAACCATCCATGTCGCGGCTGGCATCTTCTCGCCAGCATCTCTTTGCACCTCGACCACATATAGGGCGAACTCCCTCCCATCATCTTCCTTGCCCACTTGGATGGCCTTGATCTTGATCGTCGAACGCCCGTACAAGCTGTTGTCGCTCTCTTGAACAACGTATTGTTGCCTTTGAAGTTCTTTGCGACGGATCTCGCGTTGCAGACTCGCCTTGGATTTCCGCAGGATACGAAGCTCGGCCGTGTTGTTGGTGAGGTCCGCCTTCTTCGTCAGTGACTCGACTATAGCATCTTGTGCAATGAGGCGGTCGATGTCGTTGGACAACGCCGTAATAGCTTCTGCTAGTCCAAGGTCACCTGGAGCTGCCTCTTGGATTTCGTCCTCCACATCGCCTTTCGTCTCTTCCTCTGGATCATCTCGTTCGTCAGAGAGGTACTTCTCCTCATCACCAAAAAGATCGTCATCCACAAACACTCCAATGCGAGATGCCGCACTAACGAGGCCAAGGGATGCCAAGCTTGGTTTGTCGATTTCCTTGGAGGAAGCTGCAGGTCTTGGCATTTCAAGTGATCCGCGGAGGGATTCATTGTCTCCAGAAAATAGACTTGACCGGTCGACTTGATCATCCGCCCCGAACAGTGATTCTCGAAACTCTTCAGCCGTTTGCGGCCGGTTATCCTCCATGATGTTGTTCAAAGCTTCTTCCATTGCTTGTACCACGTTCGTATCTAGCACAGGAGGCTTGCCTGCGTCCTGGTCGAGACTAGCGACCGAGTCCATCATGCCATCCTGATCAAAATCGTCGTCGTCAAACAGCGGGGTCGAAACATCTTCCTCGAAAGAACGGCGTTGCTTGGAAAGGGATTCGGACCCGTTCCCGTTGAGCGTCAGGCTGGCCAAGTCCGATGCAGATCCAGCTCGCCTTGAGAGTGGGCGTGTTAGCCGAGGGGCTATACGGGAGACAGGGCTTGGCTTGAATTGGAAGGAATGGGAGCTCCGATGCGTCGGTGGGTGTGATGGAATAGATGCTGACGGCTCTGCAGCGGGGAGTGGTACGATTCTTGCTGACGCTTCTTCTGCGGCCAAACACTTGTAAAAGAGATCAGACTTCTTAAAGGCCTGGAAATATTGAGCTTGCATCGCGTCCAAGACAGCTGTCTGGGCCCTCAAGATTGCTCTGCGAGCTCTGTAGTACTGTTCGGGAGTAGCCTTCTTGCCGGCGCTCAAGAAAGCGCGAACTTCATCTCGAGAAGCTTTTGAGACCTTTAGTTCCGGCTTAGAGAGATATGCATGGTCGATCTGGCCCAAATCCTCACGGTCAGAATCCGTCCACATTGGTAGATTAGACGGCAGATGCTCGTCGTCTTGACCCTCGTCCTCCAAAGGATTGCGAAAGCCATCAACGACTAGCCAAAATTGGACCAGAGGCATCATGTGGTGACGGTCCATGAACTCCATGAAGTACGATAAGCCTGAAGCATCCCGGAGCAGGTCAACAAGAGTTGCATGCTCGAGCTTTGAGGGTGCCTGGGGAACACCAGAAGGGCGGGCAGGCAAAGTCGCAGAGGACTGTCGACTTCCACCGGCAGCAAGAAGCTGGACGCGTTCTTCCAGTAGTCGCTTGCCCATTTCAAGTCGTCTGAGGTAGACCTGATCTTGGTTTTCCTCCAAGGAATCCCGCTTCAACTGGCTCGCAACCTCGCTCCGCAATCGCCTGGCATCCGAGAGATTGCTGACTTTCCGTATTGCGCGAATGAACTTTTCGAACTTTCTCTCGCTATCGGTGGGCGAGAGACGGGGTATAATGGCAGCCTTTCCCGACCTCGGCACTGGAGAAGCATGTTGATCCAACGCCGCCCTGAGCTTCCGTACTGTCGACCGATCTTGCAACATTGAACGCCCGTAGTTTTCCATGACTTGATTCCAGGTATCGGGCTCGGCTAGGATTTGCATAACAGGAAAGAGCACAGCGCAAGCAACGATCTCCCGGATGATGCTCGAGACGGCTCGACTAGCAAGCATGTTTGGCGGTAGGACTTTTGGCAGAATCCCAGACACCATCTTTCGCAAGTAATCTTGTTGCACAAGCTTTGTGTCAGGGAATGACAACGAAGCTGCGGGATGAAGCTTTCCATCCTTGTATTTGGAGGCGATTGCGAGATCGAGCTCCTCCGATTCCGTCACCGATCGATTGAGTTTCTTCCCTCGGACGGCTCGCTCAGCCTCGTAGAAATCGCGGAAATGGGCGTTGAGCATCGGTACGACTCGGGTGGTGACGATGTCGACGAGGTCGAGCTCCAGGAGGCGTTCGCGGATGTTGATGAGGGCATCGCGCACAGCTTTATCGACCTCGTTGGAGAAGACTGGGTTCTTGCTGATGTTGGAATACCACGAGCTAACAAAGTCCCGTATGATGAGTTCGAGCAGATCGTCGAGAGCTTTGGATATCCGTTTAGAGTTGGGGTCGAGGGCGACTTTCGTGTAAGCCTGTCGTGTTTGAAGGCTTGAGACCTGTCGGGCCCAGACTTTGGGTGCGAGGAATGCAGGGCCATTTGGACGCGGGGATCGGTGTCGCAAACCGCGCCCGAAGCCGCGCGACGTAACGAGGATGAGGGCGAGAAAGGCGACGACAGTCAAGATGACTCCTCCAACCAAGGCATATCCTACCCATCTCAAGACCGGGACCCAGCTAACAGCATAGCCCCAGGCTATGAAGCATGTGATGGCGGCAAGGATCAGTTCTCTTCCTTGCAGGGCCATATCCAGATCGGTTTTGAGGGGCGATAGGCTGTCGCTACATCGTACGTCGTCGAAAATCGCGGTACTCTCGGGAGCTGCTGGGTCGGGAAGTTTGGAGGAAAGAAGCAGGTCGGCTTGGCTGGGCCTTATCGATTTCAGGGGACGTGAGGGTGCGGGTCGAGAGACACGTGTGGATGGTGGATGGCGGATGATGTTGAGGTGTGACCGTTGGACGCTTGTTCCCGGTGCTTGGGAGGTGAGAGAGCACTTAGCTGGGCATGTACCTCGGTGAAGTGTACCTGACCTCATCTTACCTGCTGTTTGGTACCTCAACCTAGGAGGTATCCTGTGTACTATGCATAGCAGGGTAGGCACTGACCCAAGGTTACTTAGCGGCTCTGGCGAGCGCTCTTACCGTTGCTGCGGGTGCGCCGCAGGGTCGGCTGCATAAGGTGAGTCTCGGTGGGGCCCTTCCTATCTATCATGCGTAACATGCGCTTGCCTACACTTACTACCGGAAAGGTACCTACCATGGGTGTATGGGTTGCGTTGTTCATAGAGATAGATACATGCAACTATCCGGGAATTCGTGCTGTGGCATAAAATTATGACAGTGAGGGACTGAACACATTGGAAACAACCTTTAAGGTACCATAGTCAGGGCCAAGCGTGGAGGCCTGTCGAAAGCAGTAGCCTGATCCTCTTGAATGTCATACCTACACTGAATTTCATGACTCTACTGCGACCGAGGCACGATATAGTTGTCTCTGAGAGTCTACGACACGAAAAAGGGGGTATTATTTGAACTCTTGCGAGACTAAGCACCAATGTCTCTCTTACTAGAGAGCCATGCCGCCAACACTCTGGTCGAGTCGTTGCCATTCACCATGGAGGATCCTCCAGCCTGCGGAAAAGCGCAATGTGCTTCTGACCCTGATTCCGCGTCACTTTCTTGCTCTCCTCCGTCTCGGACGCCATCACTTTGACACACTCATCCGCTTCCTGCTCCTCCTCCGACACACGCTCGAATGCGGGATGGGCATTGAAGTGGCCCACCATCCACTGATGCAGGGGTTCGACGTCGGTAATAGTGTACACGATGCCTCCCGGGCGCAGCGCAAAGGCATATTCGGAGTTGAGCGTTGTGGATACGATTCTGGCCTTGTGTTTCCGTGCCTTGAAGTGCGGATCGGGGAAGCAGATGAAGATCTTGGAAAGCTGTGCCTTTTTGAAAAAGTTGGGGAGGAACTTCATGCTATTGGCGCGCAGGCAGCTGATGTTCTGGTAGCCGCCAGTGTCCTGGTTCTGGACTCTGAGGGCCTTGATGCGCTCCTGGACATATTCTGTAACCGAAGTGCGGATTTCGAGGCCTTCGTAGAGGAGAAAGGTCAGCGATTTCGCCGAGTGCAAGCTTATCAAGTCCACCTACCGAGGATGAGCGTCTCTGGGAGGATCGGTGACAGAGCTACGGTCAAGCCACCAAAGCCGCAGCCAATGTCAACAACCTCCACGTCCTTCGTCAGACTGCGAGTTTTCGGCTTCGAAGCATCTAAGATCGTGGGCTCCGTAAGTGTGGGATCGGTAGAGGGAGTCTCGTCATTGGCTGCGAATGCGGGATAGTACTGCGTCCAGTTCATGGAGTCTGGACTGGCCGGGCTGTGTTTGGAGGAGGGAAGTTAGCAAAAGAGTAGATGCAAGAGGGCGGTATGACCATGGAGACTCAACTAGACTAATTGATGGTCCGAGAAGGGGTTTGCATGAGCGCGTTGGCGATAGAACTTCTTTTTGGGCAGTTCAGCCACGCCATCTTGGTTGCGCGCATTGCGATACTCTTCGCGCTTTGTGGTTTTGTTTTTCTTTTCCGGTCTACTCATGGTCGGTCGCTGATTGAATCGGATCAATTATCTGTGAATAGAGCAGCAGATAGTGGGCATACACAATCAAGCTGTCTCTGGGTAGAGAGATGGCTTGGATGGGGAATCGTCTGATATGCGATCAAGGTGCACAATTGGCCGCCTGAAAATCAAAAAGCTGCGATGCGAGCGGGCGGTGATGCATGGCGGGGGGACGATGAGAGCAGCCGATTGGGCAGGCGGTGAGCACTGACGTTCGACCGCCGCGAACCTCAGGGTATCGGTACCTGAGTGATAAGCGATAACAGCTGAAAGGCCCACCAACACACCCGTGCCCGGTGCGGGTTCCTGGCTGCGTCACTCGTTGCGGTCCCCGGGGTGATCTGCCACCCGCTGGTGTAAGGTACCTTAAGTATGCTTTTTAACGCTGACGAGGGGCCGAACATGCCCTTTGCCCATTTAGAACACAAGTGGTTGCTAGATACGGGGCAAGATATGATGTATCGACGATGGATTGGCGAGAGCAGGAAAGAAAGATAAGAGGGGAGGAGGTGACCATACTACCTATACCTTAAGACATGGACAGAGGGCCTCAGCTGCTATGGATTTCATCGAATGGGGGCTCTAGGAAGATTACCAAAATGCCTTGTCACTTACAGATAGAAGGAGTCGTTGCTACCGTCCAGTGGATGCTCGTTCTGGACCAAACACTAAAACGTGACGGAGGCGTCGGTCGGCCGTCCCATGCTCTTCGCGCATCCTCATTAGCATCTACATCAATGCCTCCCTTTGCCTGATTATCCACCTCGGCACCCAGCACCTGACTGTCTCGCGACTGGCCCGCCCAAGACATGACCGACGGGGAATATTTATTAACATAGGAATCCCCCCAATTGCCCCCCCCTCGGCGGAAATAGCCAAGACATTCAGCAACGACTTCTACCTTTGTTCTTCAACCGCCGTCTCGTCATACCACTCTCAACATCCATCCATCCATCCATCCCTTTACTACTTGCAGTCAGACCAGACTGTATTTCTGCCATCACACAGGCGACTGCACCAGTCAGCCATTGCGATCCAAGAACACCCCGCCACGTTCAGTTGCTCCCGTCATTCTCCCATCGTCATCATCTCTCTTCAGTCAATTCCAATTCGAATCGTCAACGGCCGTCGCCGTTGCTCCTGCAATTCGCTAATGAATTCCCACGCGCAAACCGTCTCGTGGTACGACACCATGATGACCTACTCATTACTACACTCCGACTACCCTACCATTGTCAGATACATCTCGGGCGCCTTTGTAAGTCCCCTTCTTAATTAACACCATTTGGGCCGCCCTCTCAGCTGCCGCTTCGCTAACACCCCCCTTCACTAGATCGCGCTAGGATTTTGCTTCTTTGGTCCCATCCTGCTCCTGATCGGTGTAGACATCGCCATCTACATCTATAGGATATGCTGGAGCCGTCCGTGGAATCAGAATCAAAATCAAGATCAGACGTCTTCGCGTGAGCCGAGGCACTTGTCGCAACAGCAAAAGGCACAACCACCGCCACCGCCACCGCCACTGGAAGTCTCGGGCGGGACGACAGCTGTCCCTTCGACGGTGGCAGATTCAGCGCGGAGGCGCATACACCATCCGAGCGAGTCCGGGGCCGGGCACAGCTCATTTTCTGGGTAGAGCGAATGCGAGGTTGTGATGAAGGGGCTGTGCTTTGAGGGCAAGGTTTTGGCAAGAGACTAGAGTAGTTCGACGGGCGGGTAGGTCTTGGTTGCGTAATGAGCTGAGCAAAGCGTCCGTCTCCTGATGCAGCATCTCCTTCTATGTTTACTTTGTTGAATTACTCATTGCCCTTCCGCGGTTGTGCTGACGGAAGGGGAAGATTGCTTTCTTCCAGGTTCCTCTTCGTTTGTCGAGGTTCCTTAATTGATGGGATGGCATAATTGTCTACTATGATGCGACAGGGGCAGCAGACACGGGTCCTAATAGGAAAGCCACTCTTGACTGATGTTGGAGGTGTAATTTGGAGGTGTGATGAGTTCATTACTGGATATTCTGAGAGTGTCCTTATTCATAGCGAGAACTTACGGGAAGTAGCAATATCCCCAGGAAACCAGCAACTCTCTGGCGTGTTATTCAAGTCAACTTGAATTGGAGATGGTCTCAAATTATGTGGCACCAGTCTTTCCAGGGTACCTGCGACAGCTTTTCTAGGGTACTTGGGGCGGTCTCAATTCTGTTTCCTGTCTTTGAGTAAGGTACCTGTAGTCAGGCACACCTTGTTGCCATCTGCCCCCGATAACGATAAGGGGCCTTGGAGTGGGATTTCCACAGCGCTCGTCGACAGCGCGCATGCCACCATGATCCTCCCACCTACGCCTCGATGAACACCACCGTCCTACACAACGACTTCAAAACACAGCAAGCATTCCTCTAGATTTTTAATCGAACCGAGTGATCCCCTCGGAGCACCCCAAGATGCAGCACACCAAGGCGCCGCAAGATCCCAACCTCTACGGTCAACCAGCGGCCAAGAAGCGCAAAAATGACAGTTCCCTCGGCAGCTCGCTCGACTTCACAGCCCAGCTGACCTCCCTCATGTCGGCGCCCGCCGCAACATCCTCAGCGCGACCTCGACCTTCAAATGCACGATCAAGTCTCTTTAGTGGAAAGGGCAGAGATGGCGACAGCGGCAGCGGCAGCAAGCAAAACAGCAAGAAATCTGCGGATGCAGCAACGTCCAGTAACAAGTTGAACCTCAAAGACCCGCTCGGCACAGAAGAAGAAACATCAAATCTCGCCCGCGCGCGGCGCAAAATGGAAGAAAAAGCACGCCTCTACGCGGCCATGAAGCGGGGCGATTACGTCCCCAAGGAGAACGAGGCGGCGCCCCTCATAGACTTTGACCGAAAATGGGCCGAATCCGAGGACAAGAAGAAGAAGAACGGCGGCAGGGATGCGGCAAACTCAAGCAGCGGCTCCGACGACGACGACGACGAGGACGACGAAAATGATTCCGACGGCAACGACCAAGACAACACAATCATAGAATACGAAGACGAATTCGGCCGTCTCCGCCGCGGCACAAAAGCAGACAAGGAACGCCTCGAGCGCCAGCGCCGCCGCGGCCTCCTCGGCGCCGAAGAGCTCGAACGCATGTCGGCCCGCCCCGCGGCGCCCGCCAAACTGCTCTACGGCGACGCCATCCAGACCATGGCCTTTAACCCGGAGGACCCGGACAAGATGGCGGAGCTGGCCAAGAAGCGGGACCGCAGCGCGACGCCGCCCGAGGCGAGACACTACGACGCCGACAGCGAGATCCGCACAAAGGGCACGGGCTTTTACAAGTTCAGCAAGGACGAGGAGACGAGGCAGAAGGAGTTTCAAGGGCTCGAGGAGGAGAGGGTGCGGACGGAGGCAGCGAGGAGGGAGAGGGAGGAGAAGAAGGAGGCGAGGCGCAAGGAGATTGAGCAGCGGCGGAAAGAGGTCGAGGCCAGGAGGGCCAAGAAGATGGCGGAGAACTTTCTGGATGGATTGGCGGCCGACATGAAGAGTGAGCGATGAGAGACAAGATCATTTGAGAAGCCATGTTTAGATGATACCCAATAAGCAGACACGCATTATGAGAGGAAGGCTATGGCTACAGATATTTGTTGTTCAATGTGATCTTGATTTCTTCTATGCCTACAGCTCTCCACATAACACTACGACTAAGATAAGATGACTTGCAACATGAATAAATCTCTTTAAATAAGTGTGTAGCCTACTGTGAGAGGAATCGACAGGCTATAAGTAAGCCTTTCCGCCGTCCGACAAAGTGGCTTTTTGGGGGCTTCTTTGCCCATCCATAGGTATTTGCCAAATATATATACAATCGCCTGCCCAATTTGCGCCCTAGTGAATGACGCCCATAGATGCTCATCCATTTCTCAATTGACGCCCCAAACAAAAAGGTAAAAAGCCGCATTGAGGCGCGTAGCCTGTCAACGCAAAGATGGTGTGTGGTACATTAATCCGTACAGTAAATCATGGTTGTGGTAGGGGGGACCTTCTCGGTCGTGGTGAAGATGTATCATGTGAACCACCATATGCATCCACAGTCGCTAAGTTGACTAGTCCTTGATGGCCGGTCTCGAGGAGATACCAAAAGGCTGTCTTCGTGTATCCAACGTTTGCTCGAGTCTGCAATTGCCACCGTTTGCCGGTTTTCCATGATCATGACCTCAATCGGCTGACCCTGATCGTCTAACACGGGCACGGTGTTTTGGCCATCATCGCAGACCTCAACTTGTCGGCAGTAAGCATTCTTCGTTTGGTCAAGCGAAACACGTCGCTCTTCAAATTTGATGACCTGAGGATATGGTGGTGGAGGGGCACGGCGTGGTCTGTCAGTCGGAATCGGACTGGACTGGGGAGACTGGGTTTGCAGTCCACGGACCAAGAACTGCGTTGATGTTGAAGGAGGGAACGTTGCAGCCGCCGGAGGCCTGGACGTCGTAGTAGAAGGCTTTCTTTGATAGCTGTTGTTTTGGGCAGGGTAGACGAATACTTCGAGGAGGGTTCCGGGCCAGGTGCAGATCCAAGGCCGATCGCCGGCCTGTGCTCCCTTGACCCCTTTCCTACTGAACTCCCCCATGCCAGGCGGCGGGCCATCCCATGATCCGCCCCTTTTGGATTGTGGCTGCTGCTTCCTGGGGGTTGTGGTGACGCCGGGAAACCTATCCTCAGGTACGACCACAGTCTTGTTGTAAGTCATCTGGGCAAACCATGCGGCGCCGCGTCCCTGTTCAGAAGTGTCGTTGACAAGCCGCATCTTCAGAGGGTCCATGATCAGTGGTGGTTGAGTACCCCACGAGAACATGTTGATCCTAGAGTTGTCGTCGTGATCGCTATCATTGAATGTAGTAAGTTTTAAGGTGTAATCGGAAATAGGTAGTTCATTGGCGATTCTGGAAACGCCCATGACGTAGCTGGTAAAGGGGATGTTGCAAGTCCAGGCTTGAGCTTGCGTCGTGTCGTTGAAACAAGTACTTGGTGCCTGACTGGCAATGAGAGGCGGCAGACCGAAGGTACCAATCTCCATGGGTGGAAGATCCGGTGGGAGGGTGGCTAGCGGCTTCACGTCAACCGTGGCAGTCGGGATAACCACTGGAATCGGCTCATCGTCTTGGTGCTTTCCGGGTGGCTTTTTGTGCTTGGCGAAGAACGTTCCGATGACAGCACCGAGAATGATTCCCCTGGATACGGTTAGTTATATCGATCAAAGAGCATAGGAAATTGACATCAACTCACATCATCACCAGTCCAACTGCCAACAAGCAGATAGCCCAGTAAGGAACGACACCGAACAATCTCTTCTTTGCCCTCTTCTGCCACTTGTGGTCGGTTGCGTTTTCGCCCTTCTCAGCGTAGGATTCGGCGGCAGTGTTGATCTCATGTTGGCTAGCAGTTTCATCATTCAACGTCCGAGAAGACGTTCGAGATGGCGATGCAAGACGCAAGTCCTCCCGTGACTCAAACTCAGGATTGCGCGTCGCGAGTCCGATGCCGCCAGCACCAGCAGGAATGGCAGGAACCGTAGCGGTCATGACCGTAACGGCAGGTTGTTGTGCCGGTGATGATTGTTGCTGCTCTGGCTCCCGCTGTGGTGATTGTTGGGATTGCACTGTAGGTGTCGATGATTGTTGTTCACCAGGTTGTTTCCTTGTGTAGGCTTGCTCGGGATATCGAGTGTAGGGTGGAAGCTCTTCGGTGTGGCCCAAAGGTCCGATAAGGTCAGCAGCTTCCTCGCCGTCTGGCCCAATCCGACGGTGATATCCATCAGAGCGGCCAGCAAATCCCACTGGGATGTTATCGCCTTCGTTCGTGTCAGGAGTCACGGTATTTTGCGTGTAAAGGGTGTATGGGTGTGTTGGTCCACGAGGCCCGGCGTATGATCTTTCAGACATGCGAGCAGTGTTTGATGTCGCGACGCTATTTGTCCGTTGCGGGTACATTTGGTACGGGAAGGATGGTCCAGAAGGTCCCTCGTAGGGACTCTCAGATCTGATGATTGGCGAATCGGTCGAGGCACTGGAGACGCGGGACATTGGAGCGCCGTTTGATTGAGATTGAGACGTTGAGCCATCGTGACGAAGTGCTAGCGGATCGTGAGAGCGAGGGGGTTTTGATATGCTGGAAGGCCGAGGAGGTGTGACGCGCTGAGGCACGGGAGAATCTCGTGACACAACCGCCGAGCCAGTCGAATGGTTTGTGGTCGAGTTGATGGGTTGATGGGAGGCGGAGACGTTTGTTGGGCGAAAGCCGTCCGAGATGCCCATGGCTGCTAAGTCGTAGTCGTCATCGTCGACAGTGTCGGTGGTCAAAGAGGCCCTCGCTGACATCCTGAGGGAAGCCCTCCGCTCATTGCCTGCCTTGTCGTGAAAAGGATCCATGGTGATGTTAATTCGATGGTCGGGTTTCGATGTCGACGACGAGCTGCGGCCTGTTGAGAGTGTGGTGGTACCAAGTTCACAACATGAGCGTCCGCCGCTGACCCCGTAGGCCCAAATCCAGATCCAGTCCCGACCTCAACCCGCGATTGCCTGCGTCGTTAGCCCTCTGCCAATTGTGCCGCGCTCCGAACCAGTCGTCGCCGAGGAGAGTCGAAATGAAGATGGATCGAGTGAGTCGTCAGGATTGTGATTACGAAGTTGTCGGGTATTTGGTGATGAGTGGACAGGTGTGAGATTCGGTAGTGTGGAAGAAAGAGAGGCAGGGCGTGGGTAGTTGGGTCATGGAGGAGAAGGAGAGGAATAGGCGTAGGACAGGGCGAAAGAGGGAGTGAGTAGGAGAGTGCGGGTGCGGGAGGGTAATACCAGACAAGGTTGGACGATTCAGGAACAGTTTGGGTTTGGGGTCCGACACGAAGCGTCCGGGAATTTGATTGGTGGGAGGCCGGGGGGTTCCTCTTTTTCCCTTCTCTACCGGCTGCGGAGGCAGGATACCCAGGGGCCGTATTCAGAAGCGAGAGAAGCCAACCCGCTGGAGACTTTCCTGCTGGAACCAAGAAACGACCGGGGTTCCCTTCACTGGTGGAGTCCAGGTATGGCTGGCAGTGGTACCTCCGGATACCTTGCCTTTGGGCACTTCACGGCGTGATCAGTACGTACTGGAAGGGTCATTCAAATATTATCCAGCCAGGGGGGAGAGAGAGAGAGAGAGAGAGAGAGATGGACTCAGGAACGAAGGAGGACAAGCTTGAAGCCAGCCCACGTACCAAGTAGTGTACGGATAGTAAGGTATGTAGTATGTACTGCGTGGGAGGCGTGGGCACTAGGCAGAAGGTGCGTGCTGGGCGAGTGACATAGAGGGACAAGAAGGGGAAACCGTGCCGTCTTTGGGAGCACTGGGCCGGGGGGGGCGGGCGAATCCATCACAAAGACGCCCAAATACAGACAGTCCATTGCTAGGTCGAGGGACCAGTGGTACAGGCGTCGTCTGTGTGTTGCAGCAGCTGGATCAAGTACACTCTTCCGACACGACTAAGACGAGGAGCGTGTGTTCGGTACGTGTATTCTGGCCCGACGTCAGCAGGCTGCAGAGCAACGAGGATTGGGAAGACGGGCTGGGCAATGTCACACTCTCGTCGGAAAAGAAGAAAGAGAGGCGGCGGACGGTATCTTGCCCTCATTGAATACTGAACGTCGTCAGGGCCGTGATAGTATACAGATAGCCTGCGTGTCTGACCTGTACTCGGCGATCTCTCTATTCTTCAAGAGCAAATTGTCCGTATGTACGGAGAGTCTAGGCGAAATCCGCAAGTACAGCCCTACCCAGTACTCTGCAGAGTCTACATACCTAGGTGCCTAGGTAGGTGCTAGGTGAGGAACCTTCGCAACGGGCAGAGACAGACTGAGAGAGGAGACAGGAGCATGTACTGTGTACGGAGTAGCAGCACCATAGTGGGACCGGACAGCCCTCGGCCGACGCTCCCTGGAGGTGCAGGTGCAGGAGTTCGTTCGTGTGTGAGACGGGTGGGGAGGTGCAGCATTGGCGTCTGGAGTGAACAAACGCTAAATAAGTCCAAATCCACCGAATCCGCCCCGCCCACTGCCCAGATCCACCCAAACAGAGTCGGTCGTTTATCACCGGCAAGGAAGGTCGTTAACTCATACCACCCACGGAGTGCCATACTAAGTAACTTATCCGTAGTAATACTGTGCCTTCCACTACGGACAGAAATCAAAGCAAGGTATCCTTTCGTTCCATTTGTAGATCCATCTAGATACTACCATGATTACTATCAAAGCCGTCTTCAAACGTTTGCCTCTGCTCTCTTAATCACTCATAACTTATAAGAGTATCCGTAGTGTACAACGAAGTGTACAACGTAGTGGCCCATGATGCTACTGCGGGGAAGCTCGTGGCTTCGCAAATCACAGAAATAGACCGAAGAAAACATGATCGGTCGCCATTCGGTGCTTCATCGTTTCTTCCTTGCCTGGCATTCTTCCCACTGGCACCCACCCACACAGCGTGACAGCGCCCATGTCCAAGCACAATTCCGTACCACGAGCGGACCGGGGTCGCCCACACCTTATCTGCAGAAGCCATGGCCGACTGACTTGAGTCTGTCTCTCAATTTCGACACCCGTTGCGCCTTGCCGGCGTTCTTCCCCACCAGTAATAGCAGCCTTGTCTGATTCTATTATACGGTGTCAGTCAAGGGAATCCAATTCGTTCACTGCCAGGTTGCCTCTTCATCTATCCGTACGTCAATCAACCACCGATCCACAGAACTCATTCCAGAAACAATGCCACTTGTTCTGCCCAGAGCGATCGTGTGTGATGAGCCTATTTACCCGGGACACCACAAACAGACCAAGGTTCTATAATCCCATGGACTCTTGACTTAGGTTCTCTCCAGAGTATGTACCCGAAGAATCAAGTTGTCTGCTAGTAGAGCTCGGCTATCCACCGATCAGCCCTTCAGGAATGCGAGCAACAGACCACGGGGATACCGAGCTCACTTTTCGGCGAGTTGCTCCTGGTGATGGCTGGGGGAAACAGGGCGATTCTGTGTCAAGTTGTGAGAAGAATGCCGGTCCTGTCAGCAACGTGGTAAAACCAAACGATTCTTCAAGTCTTTCAGATGGGCGGACAAGACCAAGTAGAGCCTTCGGAGTAAACTGGCACGACTGGGAGAGATGCTGTCGCAGAGCAGGGTTTCAGACGTTTGGCAAACAGTGGGGTCCCGCCTCAAAATGCCGCCCGCCCAGTCACGTCTGTCCAGTATTGGCAGTCAGTATCCGTAGTCCCCAGTGTGGTCGGTGTGGTGTTTTCTCCTACCTGGGTCCAGCCTGTCAGCCACTCACCTAACCTCCGACGCCTCCCAGAGTCTCAAATACCTATGAGAGAAGAAGTCGTTCCGGTTTTCAGTCAACGGATAGGAAGATTAAGCAGCCACAAAGTCAAGAATGAGTGGAAGCAGGGACGTTTGTAGATCTCAGTTTGGCTGCCGGCAAGAGCTTGGCGCTAGATCCGAAACAGACTAGCGTCATGCCAGTCGGCTCAAGCGCTGCGGGCCAAGCGGTCTCCGTCAAGCGAACATTCAACAGGGCATGTGGGGACCGAAAAGACCACCGAAAAGCTCTGTACGAGATTGCTCCTGCACAGCATGGTAGAGGCGAATGGGGTCTAGCGTCCCTCTGTGCCTCTCTCTCCGTGGGCCCCGTCCCCTGTAAACCTCATCCGCGCCTGCAGAGAGCATTATGCAAGCAAGGAAGCCCACGACAAAGATTGGCAGATAAGCAACAGTCCCCTTGTAAAGACTATCCGCATCTTGCAGGCGCAATTCAAGCAGCACTGTCGTCTGCAATAGAGACAAAGGCACGAAGATTCGAGGAATTCGGATTAAGAATGGAAGCAAGAAGTGGTCCATCAAGACTTGATCAGGTTCCTTGCATATGGTGTCTCGTCGACTGGCTAAAAGCGGATTGACCACTCCGAGTGGACAGAGACTAGGGTGCCTTAGGTAAGGTGTGAACCGGGAACATACCGCGGCTGGAACGGGCAAAGTGCTTCTCCCCGCCGGTCTTATTTTTTTTATTTTCTTTCTTCAGAACACCTTCAGGGCTCCAGGCTCTTTCCATGATTGTCTCTGCCACACTCAGACACAGCGCCAGACATTTGACAGGGTACCCCTATGTACCTACCAAGACACTTACTATGTATACTGATATTGAGCTTGTCGTTGACTAGCTAGGCATGAGATGGTTTGTATGTTTCCTTCTCCAACATGGTGTACCGCCGATTGTCACGAGTATAAGGTAGGGAATCCACTTGTTTATTCAATCGCCTTGTCTCGCCAAAACACGACCTGCCAAATTGCTCCTCGTTGTCTCTTGGTCGGCTAGCGGTGAATGATCCTACCATTAAAGATGACCAAAGATTCTCTACGAAGCAGAACTCGTACGGACACAAAGACACGGATGGCAAGTAGGATGGACTAATATCGCTAGATCTACGGAGTATTGATGCCTGTCCGAATGTCTCTTGTGTCCCAGGCACGCTGCACCTCAGTCAGGCAAGCCAGACACGCTGGCAGGTTATCTGGGTTAAGGATTAAGGTTCTGCTAACGGGGATATACAATCCAGTTTCCCCAGAAAGGCAACCGGCCAAGCCGTTTGCGTCCGAGTTAAGTCAGAGTCGACTTGTCAAGACACGAAGCTTCCCGTCTCGCTGAACTTCGGTCACCGATGGCGGTTGCCTTCCACCGCTTTCGTCTCTGGGCAGCCATGGCAGCCTACTTCCCGGCTCGTTTCTTCCCTCTCAGAACCTTGTTCGGCTTGTTCTTAGTCTGTTGGGAAACTCGGGTTGATCTCAGCGTTCTTCTCAGGCATAACCGTGTCAACAACCCCGTCTTGCCAATTTGTCCTGGGCACTGAGTGACCCATCACTTTGCAACACTGACTCGCTCTTTTCTTTGCCACTGTGAAACTGCGGGTACCAGACAGATATTGATCAATATCGATTATCCGTACTGAGTACGCATACAAGCTGCGATATCTTTGTCAGCCGATGACGGTAGATTCTCTAACCTCTTCACCCCTTGCCATCAGAGTTTCCCTCTGCGTCGCCGTTCACAAATAATGGATACCATGGCCACCAATTCTGGTCTGGACCGGCGCCGCTGACGGCGACCATGTGCCGTAGGCCCCTCTTCAAGCCCTTGGCTTGCGGCTTGTGGATACGGCTCCTTGCCAACGGAAAGCCCCCGACTTGCTCGTCACCCCGGGTCCTTGATGACTTCACCTCGACTTCCGTGATCCGGTTGGCCCATTCGCTCTTCGTCTCTTCTACGGATACTGCCAGTTGATATCCGTATTGGATCCATATTGCGACATATACAACGTCCAGAACGGCTATCGCTGTGTCCGCAATAGGAGACGTTCAAGTGCAGAGCTGCGCCAGATGGTCATGGCAGCCTCGTCATGAATCAGAGATACTACAGTAAACTCTCATCGACAACTCCAAGTCATCTGGGTCGACGGATATCTCATAACCATGCTCTCCATATTCATCATCACCCCCAACTTCCACCAAGAGCTGGTCCCCGTTCGCGATACTCCTTTGCTGCTTCTGGCTACTTGTACCTTTACGACTATACGGCTCTGAGCAGTTCGCAAGTCAAGGTACCCAAGCCCGCGGGCTTTCCAATCAACCAACGATTCAGGCGCTCGACCCATTTCAACTCTGCCTTTCTCACTCAATCGCCGTTCTGGGCTGAGCCAGTCAAACCTCGCGGCAACTTTCGGTGTGCAGCTCTTGCGACCAACAGGTAAGGCAACCATGCAGGCACAGAGTCAGAGTCGAAGTCGAAGTCGCTAAACACTCCGGCATACTACGAGATAGGTGGCTACCAGCCTGCTGCCTGCGTCTCGTCAGTCCTGGCACCCGCATACGAATGCATCATTCCATTATCCGTCTCTCGGAGCTACCCCCGGACCATGTAAGCAGCCATTTGCCCGCCCGCTGCGACCGCCCGGAGCTCATCAGTCCCCAGCATGGCATTTGTTGACTAGTACACTCAGCGGTGGCCAACGCCGTCGGTACGGAGTAGTCTCCTATTGCTTAGACGAACGGATGTATCTTCGGCTATGCTACAGGTCACATCTCCTTCCCCATACTCGTCCCATGATTTCGGCGCGACCTCCATACGAACATGGCACTTCTTTTTACGGTCACATCCACCATACACAGTTCGAGGATGGCGATATGCCCTTCAACTAGCCTGCTTAGAAGAAGAAAGCGACCAGTCCCAGAAATGGCCGCAATTGACCACCTGCGGGCTAAGCGTCTGCATTCGCACTCCTACGTGAATCGAGGCGAGAGAGAAAGGGTTGCTGCGACCTCTTTTGTATGGTTGGGGTTTTTCGCAGCTACTGCACGTTAAGAGATATGTGCGGCCGAGTGGCTCTGATCACTCGATGAGCAGCCCCATTTTCATCCAGTCATCCCCCTCCTCTTCCTCTTGGTGAGCAACAGCTGCAAGTACTTCGCGTTGTTGGTCCAGGGGACGCCTGATGCAGACAGATTTCGTTGGTTGCCTATTCTTCCTTTCTTCTGCATTTGCAGCCTCATTTCTACTCCACACAGCCGGATATCCCAATAGATGTAGGTTGTGGTCAACGGCAATCGAGTAAATGGCCATAGGATTGTGCTCGTCCCGATGGACTACATGCTGCTTGGCCTAGATCCCTCAAGAGCAAACGCCATGACCGGTGACAAGCTTGATTGATGTCACTTTAGTTGCTGCGTCTGGTACGGCATCGTATTGGTCGCAGTGGTGTGACTCGGTATGTTCCAATCGCGGACTGGCAGCAAGTAGGCAGATCATCTGTTTCTTTTCCCCCTCATGTTATCCGTACTTTTTTACGCTTTCTCGTTCTCTCGTTCGGTTCTGTCATCCCCTTACACCATTCTGTGGCCTCTGGTCTCGCACATGCGCTGAGTTGTGCTACTCGGCAATGGGTAACTGCCTTGCCTAAAGTACGGGTAGGCATATTGGTGCCACCAGACTCGGAACGTGGTTCTTTCGGTGCGCTTTGAGTTGTCTCGAAAGATCGGCGTGAAACACGGTGAATGGCTTAAATGTGTGTGCAGGGCTGCCGTGGAGGCAGGGCGAGGAAGAAGTGCTTCTTCTGCATCCAAGGAGGGTGCCCAGGTGGGCTGTGACGGTGAAGTACATACCCCGCATGAGACACCACTGGTCGTAGCCTTCTTCATATATTGATACTCGGCCACTACCGGTACTGGGTTGTTGGCGATAGGGTGAAAGGGTACTTTTTTCGTCTTGGTTGCCAAGGCGAGGAACGAGACATGCAATTTACGTCCAGTCCCCTTGCCTTTGTACTCTGCATCATGCATGAGCTCGAGCTTGCATGCAGCCATTGCTCTCTGCTCCAGCACTAGCAATGAGACGAGGCGAGCAGCGCTGACCAAACATGTAGGTCAGTCCTTCACGACCGTTGCTCAACCCATTCTGCCTGCAATGCCATGCCCATTGCCGAGGGCAATAAGTATTTGATCAAGCCCCATCCCGGGCAATGTCTGTGCAAAGCTCGCTTGTCGTTGTCCGCTTCATCTCTCCCTCGGTGGTTAAGCAAAACTCTCTACTGCGTTACTTGACCAGTAAGGGTACCGGCCCAAGCAATTTGCTCCCAAGTTCTGCCGTGTCATACCAGGGTGTTCCTTCATCTCTTCCCATCTCTCTGTACGCCCCAGGCATCCAATTCAATTCTACCCGTTCGCATCGAAAACGCCAGCCATGGCTCACCAACATCAGCATCACTTTGACGACGCCGCGTCCGTATCGAGCTACTCCTCCTCCGGAAGCTCGTCCAGGTCGTCCTCCCGATCATCCTCCAGCTCAGGCGGTTACAAAAAGTCCAGATCGTCCACGACATCCCACTCCAACATCAAGAGCGACCACTGGGCCGTCTCGTTCATGAAATGGACGACGGGCGCACCCCCCGGCAAGCAATTGGCCCTGCGAAAGACCAGAGTCTGCGACTACGAAGAGGACTGGGGCTACGACGACGACGGCGCCGGCAGCGTGTACAGCGACGCGTCGTACATCTCGTACGCCTGGGTCAGTCCCAAATGGGACGATAGTATCTCCGAGATCGCGTCCCGCTCCAGTAGCCGGACGAGCGGTCGGCTCCGAAGGGAGCAGAGAGGTTCTGGTGGGGGTCGGCATCGGTTTACGGTGCCGCCGGCCTCTTTTCAACCACCACCTCCTCCGCCTCCACCGAATATGGCTCCGGGACCTGGGTTTCCCATGTACGATGATGAACCTGCGTTCTTTAATATGGGTGGTGGTGGTATGGATGACGGGTATCACCCGGCTCCCATGCCGGCATTCGGAGGCGGTGGCGGCGGCGGCGAACCTGCTTTTGTGGATCTCAATGCCGGAGGAGGCGGCGGTGGTGGTGGTAACAACTTCCCCGGCAAATACGCCGATTGGGATGATTGAGTCTTTTGCTAGTCTCTAAGAGGCTGTGTTTTTTTTTTCATTATTTGGTCACGATTATTGTACGGACATACGGGCAACGGGAAGGCGGTTCATCTCTTTTCTTTTTTGGGCTTCGATGACGATCGATATTCGGCGTTTGACAACAAAACACCCACACACACACACATACACACACTACGAAGCTCCCCTTTCCCTACAATTGTACCCAGAACATTTTTTTTTCGAAGGGAGAGACAGGACCTTCAAGGAAAGTGGGGGAGGGAGAGCTCAATGAATTATGATACCTTGCTTCTTTTTATTAATGATATCACGAGAGAATAAGATCATGATACCGATGTGTTTATTTACTTGAGTGAACCAATGCCGTACATGTCCTGGTTTGTGGCATCTGCTTTTCCAACTCCATGGTGAAGATGCATTCGGGAATACTCCAACATCCACATACCAGAGTCTGTATAAAGGGGATTTCAAAGCCCTTTAGAGTCAGATATATCGGAACAGAACTGAAACCAGTGTCTCTTGAAATTCCGTCACGAGTATTCACCACGGCGACATGCCTACAGTGATGTCATCTTAAGCAAACTGCCGATGAATTATAGTACCGGCAGACGGGACTAACGGTAGCATGGAAGAAAACGGCCTCGTTCGGTGCGGATACTTACCGGCTTCTGCGTCATTCGGGGAAGCCGCTGTAGCTTAGAGCGAGTGTGTGGCTAAGTACATCTGGGCTCTCTGGGCCACAGCCACACAGACTTCGCAGTTGGCCTCAACCCACGCACTTCACGGTGCACCCCGTCTTGATTGTCTTGGTCCCGCATCTCAAGATCTGTATAATGTACCGCAATTGCTCCCAGCCGCAATGTAGGTAGTACTCTGAATGGCGCAATTGCCATTATCCTGAGTTGGCATATTGTATATTGCAGTACTTTGCATCTGGAAGAACCTGCGCCACAGTCTGTTAAAATACGCATGTTGTGCATGGGATCTTTGAGAGTCTCGTTTGGCAAGCCAATCAACATCAGTTTCAAGGATACAAGGGACTTCATTTTGTCCTAGACGCAGGTCTTGTTACTACTCTTGCCCCTCCCTCGATCACTTAATTGGCTCATGGGGACCACCCCTCGTTCAACTACTGGTATGTCCCCATACTTGATGACTGCATATCGAACACCAAACGCATGTGTCTTAAACCAGATTTCCCTCTCGAAGTCTGAGTGGCTCGGCCATGTCCATTGCATATCTTGGGCCGCTCGTTTCCGGCCGTCCTAAACAGCCCTGGACTTCTTTCCCCAGACCAAGTTCCATGTTCATCACTCAGCCTTACAGTCCCAAGAGCCATTAGCGTAGGCAGCAAATGTTGCCTAGCACTTAGCGTTAGATCTTACTCTTCGTTCTCCAGAAAAAAATGCTCCTTCAAGGTTATAGCAGAACTTAGTCTTGCGAAATTCCTACTGCACCGCTGTCCTAGCACATGCCGGAGTGACTCAACGATGCTTTGCTTTCCCTCACCCCGGCGGCCTCAGCGACCCATCTTCATGTGCTGACAATCCAAGTCTACTGGGCCGGCTGTGCCAATTGGTGTGATGCGGTCCTGCAAACTATCCCGCATACTACACGGTGTGGTTGCAGACGACCCCTGCCTAACTGGCTGAACCTGGGGTCACGAACGCCTCGTTGACGTGGTTGCCTCCCAACCGTATGGGTGTGCATCTCCATCTACAATTCGACTATATAAAATAGCAGGTGTCTTGCACATTCACTACATAAAGATCTCACACACTTCACTAGTACGACATCTCCTTGTCTCTCTTCCACACAATCCATAAGAGGAAGCATTCTCAGCCGTCTTACCTCTTGCCTTCTTCGAGATATATCAGCCCTACCAGACCATTTGTATAACATAGACTCACATTGTTTCCCCTCGAGCTGGCCTCATTCTCTTAGCTTCTACAGACAGACAATGGACACAATGACAGATACCGGCTACGCCGACCCCATCAACACATCATCCAGCACAGCACAACCTGCTCCCCAACTAGCACTGCTGGACTTCTTCTTCCCGGGCTTCAGCGTCTTCACGACAGCTTTCCAAAAGTACCTCGGCATCGACCTCAATGTCTACATCCCCCTAGTGATCCTCTGCGGCGGCGCCACCTTTGCCTGGCGGTACTTTAGCGAGTACCTCTGGGAAAAGGTCGAGAAGCACCTCATGTCGACAGTCGAAGTCCGCACCGACGACGAAATCTACAACATCCTCATGTCCTGGGTCGCCGCCCAAAAGTTCGCCAAGAACTCGCGGCGCTTCGTCGTTAACACCAACCTGAGCTCGCGGTCCTGGTTCCTCTGGCGCTGGGACGACGAAGAGGAAGAGTCGGACGAGTCCTCTGACAGCGGCCTTGTCGAGATCTCGGGCCAGAAGAAGAAGCCTCTCGCCTACACGCCCAGCTTCGGCAGCCACTCCTTCTGGTACCGCGGCCACCTCCTCCTCTTCAAGCGCAGCCAGAACCGCGAGCAGGCCTCCTACCTCGTCGTCAGCGAGCGCGAGGAGATTAGCCTCTCGTGCTTCGGCCGCAACCCCTGGGTCCTCAAGGAGCTCCTCCAGGAGGCCCGCGCCGAGTACCTCAAAAAGGACTCGCAAAAGACTATGATATACCGCGGCAGTACCCGCGCCGGCACCACGGAGCCTACGTGGCAGCGGTGCATGGCCCGCACCTCCCGGCCCTTCTCGACCGTCATCCTCAACGAGAAGACGAAGAAGGAGCTTGTTGACGACGTCGCCGACTACCTCTCCCCCGTGACCCGGAAATGGTACTCCAACCGCGGCATCCCCTGGCGCCGGGGATACCTCCTGACAGGACCTCCCGGCACCGGCAAGTCCTCGCTCTCGCTCGCCCTGGCCGGCTTCTTCAAGATGCGCATCTACATCGTGAGCCTGAGCTCCATCTCAGCCAACGAAGAAAACCTAGCCACCCTCTTCGCCGAGCTGCCCCGGCGGTGCGTCGTCCTCCTCGAAGACATTGACACAGCCGGCCTGACGCACACCCGCGAGAACAGCGGGACCGGCGATGCCACCGCGGACGCCAAGGACGGAAGCGGCGACATGGTCCCCGGTCAGCTGACCGCAGGCAACGGCGCCACAAACACCAGCGGCCGGCTCTCACTGTCCGGCCTCCTCAACATCCTCGACGGCGTCGCCAGCCAGGAGGGCCGCGTCCTGATCATGACCACCAACCACGTCGAGAAGCTCGACAAGGCCCTCATCCGACCCGGCCGCGTCGACCAGATTGTCAAATTCACCCTGGCCGACGGCGAAATCATCGGCGCCATCTTCCGCGCCATCTACGCGCCCCTCGAGGGCGACGAAGATATCATCGCGCAGCCCCCTGTGCAACAACTGAGGAGCGACACCATCACCACCACCACCGACGACAACGAAGACGAAAAGAAGAAACTCGCAGCCCAAGCAGCCGCCCGCACCGCAGAAATCGTCGCCGCCGTCGAAGCCCTCTCCGAGACGTTCGTCTCCCGCATCCCCGCGCATGAGTTCAGTCCTGCCGAGATCCAGGGGTACCTCATGAAGCACAAGCGCAGCGCCTCGGCAGCGGTGGCCGGCGCCGCCGAGTGGGTGACGGAGACGCGCAAGGAGAAGAAGGACAAGGAGCTCAAGGCCGCCGAGGAGAAGCGCGCGGCCGAAGCCAAGGAGAAGGAGGACGCAGAAAAGAAGCGCAAGGAGGAGGCTGAGGAAAAGAAGAAGGAGACCAAGGAGAAGCGCAAGGAGGAGAGGGAGAAGAAGCGCAAGGCGGAGAAGAAGAGTAAGCGGAGTAAGAACAAGGAGGCTGCGGCTTCTTCGGATTCATCGTCCTCTTCCGACTCGGATTCTGGATCCGGCTCGGAGTCGGAGGCTCCTATCAAGGTGACGACGGCAACGGCGACGGCGACGGGTGAAGCCAAAGTTTCGGAGAAGAAGACGGCGGAGGAACCGATGGTGATCTCGGGGGCCAAGGCCGAGCACGGGGCCGAGGACGTCACGCAAAAGCGAGACTCGGGTTACGGTACCCCAGTGGAGGTTTGAGAACGCTGGAGATAGTTCCCTGCATTACAAAGGAATTTGGGGGGGTTGTTTTGTTTCTCTTCGGCGTCTGTACTTACTTCTTCTCGTTTGCATTGACCGGCGTCCGGGCGGCCGGCTTAGATGGGGAAGATCCGGAAGGAGAACTGCGATCCCATGTCATAGCGTTACCTCTTGAAAAGGGTTTCATTTGATTTTATTAAGTTGATAGAGAAAGGCATGCTCTATGTCCATCTTCTAGTAGAAAACAATACTCAAATGTATAAGCCATCAAACACGGATACAAGGGAATTGTGATTGTCAACAAATCATTTGAGCCATTGAACAAGGTAAATGACATTGCAACGGTAGCTAGCCGTCAACGCCTTCACACATACAAGCATCTTGACTAACACCGCACTGGCTGCCATCAACAACTGACAGCTGTGGGCTCGGTCATTTAATCAGTTTAGTCGGTTTAGACTCTTGAGGCACAGCCAGGCTGCTCGAGCCCTCCTTAACCCTTCCGAATCCTGTCACAGGGCGAGCGTATACGGCCAGGTTGAAACATCATCATCCACTGTGGGAGACTTACTTCACCGACAGCTTTCTCGCGACATCGCCAAAACTTCAAAAAACAAAAAAACATACAACACCAGGTATTCGCTGGTCGTCACCGACCCAACTACTAATCCGGCCCTCATTGGCTTATCTATGGGAGAGCGGACGGGATCCCGAGTTTTCCAATGGGTATGGTCGTATGTGACAGTTTCCCGATGGCAAATTGATCATATTCGCTCATCATGGTAAAGGGCCATCAACTGTAGTCTGGGGGCAGAGGGCCTGGAAATTCCACTGCTGACAGCAGCCTCGCAGCAGCAGGCTTCTGGAAGCAGTTATTGGAACGAACAAGATGCAACTTCGGGGTCCCAGTGGCAGAAGAGCGGGCTAGCCAAGGCAGAGTGTCATCATCAATGGTTCAATAAACCTCGGACGGGGTGTGCCCTGGATGCATGTGGTTTCCGAGCTAATAGAACGGGGACATTTGAGAGGCTTGAAGGGAAAGATCTTCAGACGATGAAGAGATGTCCTTGTCCGTGCCGAGCATGCGCCTCTGCCTTGCCTTGCCGTGCTGTACATTTGATTGCTGCGCAGAAACTGGCGACAGTTCCCAAACTGAAGAAAACTGGAAACTGAGGGGAGGGCCCGGACCATGCAAGCAGCAAACCTGGGCAAGAGTGCCGATGCGAGACCGGTGCGGTGCGGTTCGGGTTGCAGGGCATGAAGAACGAGGGGTTAGAAAGAGAATTTTCCTTGAACGACGTGATGGTTGTCACGCTCGGTCTAAGAGCCTCGGAGTTCGAGGCTGAATAGAGAACTGCGAGAACGGGCCAGCCGCCAGCTGCTTGTGACATGTCGTTACGCGGGGCGGTTCCATTGTGGATATCCGCCGGGAGGGGCCATCGTTCGGAGGACCGACGCGGCGATGCGAGGTCGAAAGCGTGGGATGCCATACCATGGCCACAGGCGATCTAGCAACGATCAGTTACTCAGTCACTCAGTCGGACTTCAGAATATGGGGTTGGTGGGAGAGAGATGGGCTGCAAGGATGCGATCCCCAGAAAAGGTCTCACGTCTCTTTTTTATTCCCTCTTTCTTCTTACGTATCGATGTGCGTCTGGCGAGGCGAAACTGTCCAGTAGTGCAACGGTCCAAATGTCGACATGCTTGTCGCTGATGAGATGCGGCACGAAAGAATGTTTGCGGATCTTATCTAGTTTTGTTTGCTTGTCTTTGATCTCTGCGGAGCTGGCCGGGCCTTTCAACCGCTCCCAAAGTGGCGAGGACGGAAGGCTCAGCCACGACGGACGCGAATACCATCACCAATGACACGGGGCCATGGTGATGAGAATGAAGCCTCGAAGTCGTGTGGTCTGGAGTTTGTGCGATGCGGTGGCTTGGTGACTGGCCTGTTTGTCACTCTCAGTTCTCCGCTACCCTAGCAAGCCTAGGAAGCTGCTCGCTGCCCTTGCAGTTCTACAGTCAGACGCATGTGCCTGTGCCTTTTTGTGTTCCCAATAAGACTCTTCCGTGCCTGTGCCTGTGCCTGTGCTCGCCCGTAGCTGCTAGATAAATAGGTAGTGCAGGTTGTACACCGTACGACTAGGCAAGTTCCTGTCGGGGGAAAGCAAATTGGAAATGTCAATATCGGGATGCATGGCCGTTTTGCATTAAGCTAGGCTGAACAAGCTTAGCGAGTCAACGCCAGAGAAGTCCGTGGTGTTGTTGAAGATGGAGTTATCAAACGATGAATCGTCAACGAGCAGCAGACGCTATTCCTAATTGAGATTTTGGCAAAATCGACTGCTGCTTGCCGAAGTTCTGAACGCACGCCTCAGGGTAAGCGCAGCGTCTCATACATCTGTTCAAGAAGTGACGACGCCCTGGAGAAGTTCGGAAACCTGAAGAGCCAGGTGCGCTATATGCCGCCGAGCGAAAGAATTCTTCTCTGCAGCTGCCGTCGTTGCAGAAAAGAGCCCAAGAGTATCCGCAATCTTTCCGCAACTGGCGGGGTCATGCGATTTGCCTTCCGTGACGGAGTAAGAGGTGAGGGGCAGAGGCGAGCGAGAATTGCCTTGACGTAAGATGCCCTGCCCTACCAGAGCTTCCTTTCCTCGAAAAGAAGCCACAGGCTACAGGAATTGCGCGACTTTTCCTGAAGTGCCTTGAACCAACGCCTGCTGAATGGGTCTTGCTGTCATTCGACCCTGAGTCGCTCGCGGTTGACGACCGTGTCTCTGAACTTGATTTCCTGCTTCAATGACTAAAATCATGAGCGGAATAATGAATAAGCGCTTCAGAGTTGTCGGCTGCGTTTCTCAGATGGCGGGCTTGTGCCGCCGGTTCAACCAATTCGACCCTTGACCATCGTCTGCCTGCCATGGCATGCAGCGTGCTTCTAATTGCCGCGTTGCTGGCCTCAAGAAGCGTCTGCGGCCCGGTCCAGTGGATCCTCAATATATGGAACACGAAGCATTTTCGGAGCACTAGAAGCAAAGTACAAGGCTTGCCATGTTATCAAGTACCTAGATCTCTGCATCTCTTCGTGTCTTGCTTGTCGCTTCACATGTTTTACGTCAGATACTTCCGTCCTTGAGACAAGCGACGCCAAGCTACGGAAGGGGTAAACCGCGGGGCTGGAGGGGGGAAAAGTTTCTCACCACGTTGAGCCGTTTCCATGTCTCAGTGCAAGCGAGCTCAAGCTGTCTTAAGCAAGTCTTGATGGCCTTTCAGACACGTTGTTTGCTTGCCGTACCTAGCAGTTCATCATGCAAGGGCTATGCCGCGACAGTCGGATAGACAGGCATCAAACGCTTTGTTCCGAGATGCCGCCCGTCTTGCTATGGCCAGGTAGCGATCCAGCTGTGAGCTAAAACAGAAAAGAGAAGCAGAATGAAAGACTCTCTTCGTCTGTTCGAAGATTTCATCGTCCCGATGGAAGAAAAATTGTGCGAGAGTTGAGCAAGGTACAGCTGGGTACTTGTCGCAAGTCGAACTTGCCTCATGAAAGTATCCATCTGGATGGCACCTTCGATGGAGGGGCAGATTGATAAGGTACCTTTTGGCGTTCGGCCCCGTTTGACTGTACATCGACCCCACTAAGCCTTCCGAATGGGCCAAGACGAGAATGTTCAGGTGGGTACGGATACGTACTCCGTACCACTACACTTTGGAGGGGAATCGCCATTTCCCATCTTTGGTAAGATACTGAGGTACCTACTCCGTGCCGCTGGTGATAACACATTTGCTTCCTTCTCGCCAAACAAGGCGAGGTACCTACCTGCCCACCCACACAACAGAGCACCGCCCCCCTCCAACTCGATCCATCAATCATTCAGCAGTACCGCGAGTCCCTTTCCTCTTGGATGTTTCTTGTCAGTCTGGCATTGTGCTTGTACGACCTCACTGCATTCCGGACGCAGGGTCCGTCGCAACCTTATCTACTTTACCAGGCCTACCGGGTTCCTCCATTCATCCGTCATGTTGTATATTGATTGTTGCTTGAGGCTTCAGCTCAAGTGATGCAATGACGACAGATACCTTCGGTGAGCTAGGAAATATGGCAGCCGGCTCATTTAGGCCCAGCGGTCCATCCAACTGGCTTCTGCAAATTGCCGGGAGTCTCAATTTCCCTGGCGCCGGATGTCATTGTCGTTGGCCTCTCGCCTCGCCTGAGTATGTAGCTAGCTGCTAATTACCTTAGCTCACAGAGAACGTTTGCTACATCTTGTCATGCCGCTGCTAAAACAAACAAGACAATTCTTCGACGCCAAGGCAAACGTGTGCTAGTGCAGACCGAGGTCAAGAGAGATACGCCAAGTTTGCGAATGCGCCGACTCCGAAGTTGAGGCAGGAAGAGGAAGGGTCGTTGGTGCAGCGCCAGATAAGCATGATAAGGCAACGATACCTTGGTACCTTACCTTGTCCCCAAGGGTCCTCGCTTCCAATCTTAACTGTTCGGAATACGGCAACATCATCACATTATCCAGTCGAAGACACTACAGAGGAGATGACCCGGTATTGAAGACTGGTACAGGCAGATCAGCACATAAACCACTCGAAGCAAGACTGAGTACATGTGCTCATTCGGAGGTAAATTCTTCGGAACCCTGGATCGGGCTGGGCATTGCGCCGAACTGGCTGCGCGCGCAGGCCGCACACTCCCTCTTCCCCAACCCAAGCCACCGGTTGTCACACAAGTCGCACACTGCGAGTCTGCCCCGCCACCGCTGGTGTTCGTTCCTGGGCTCTCTCTCGTCGGGTTTTTCGGGTGTCTCGTTACTGTTACTGTCCAAGGAAGGTCATGTAGATGGGGAGAGTGAGGTGGTCTTTCCTGTCCAAGGTAGAGGCGCCGGACAGCGGACAGCTTTGCTTGGCCTGGGATGTTGCTACTTGTTGATGCGCGTCCAGTCCCGTCGCACAAGCAGTCGGATGTACATCCCCTCTATGGACCATGGACCAAGGACCTGTGGTGTATGAGTATGACTATGATCCCACCCATCAACGGATACCTAGCTCGTTTTCGCCCTTGGTCAATGGTCTGGCTGTATGGTGTGTTGCGACGTCAGTGGGGATTTAATATTAAATCACTCCCCCGTACCTTTTTTTTTTTTTGCCTATGCCGCCGTTAGTCTGCTCCTATCATCTGCAGAGCTGTGGGAATAAACAGAAGAAGAATTAAAAAAAAAAAAAGATAAACGCCCCTTCCACCAACTCGACTTCTGGACCCTCTTCTTGCTGTTACTGCTGCTGCTGCCTCCCGTTTGTCTCCGTCCCAACATCTTTTTACCCACTGCCTCCCTCTCCTGATTTCTTCTCATTCACAGCTTCCTCCCTCCTCCTCTTCTTCCCCCTACACCTATTCTTCCTTCCTCGTCCTTCTCATCCTTCCAAACTCTCTCCAACACACACTTTGGTCCTTCACGAAAAGACGACCACCCTCTACCAATAGGTGCGTTGGGCCCGAGTTCACTGCCCCTCCCCCTCTTCTTCCCGTCCCCTCCTTGGTGCTGGAACATCCTTGTCCTGATTCTGCACGTTGGGCACCTTTGGTGACCTGTTTGCCAGGCGCGTTGAAACGGCGGTGAATGGGTGTTTGGGAGTTCAAAAATAAGTCTTTCTGGCTAACTCTTCACCCTTTTCGCAGACTTCAATTCTCCCAAAAGCACAGTCTGTACGATCGCGTCGTCCAAAATGGCTTCCAGACCTGAGAACATTGGCATCAAGGCCATCGAAATCTACTTCCCCAACCAGGTTGGTCTCACCATGCTTTTTTTGCGCCACCACCACCGCCGAACTACTGGAAAAGGCAGAGCGAGAGAGAAAAAAAAATCCGCGCTCTGTCCCTCAGCGCCGAAATCGCAATCCACCCACCAGCACAGCCAGAATTACCCCTCCTCAATCTCCCACCCCGGACTGGGGCGCGTCAAAAGGCCGCTCCATGTTGAAGCTCTCGCAAGATTCTGAGAGCATTGTACTGACTTGTTTGCTTCCCGCTGTGTAGTATGTCGAGCAGACCGAGCTCGAGACCTTCGATGGCGTCAGCGCCGGCAAGTACACTATCGGCCTTGGCCAGACCAAGATGGCCTTCTGCGACGACCGCGAGGGTGAGCTCCGCCTGCTTCTCCCTAAATCCGTTGCTTGCTCTAATCTTTCTCGCTCTTTGTAGACATCTACTCCTTCGCCTTGACCGTTACCTCCAACCTGATTAAGAAGTACAACATTGACACCAACTCCATTGGTCGCCTCGAAGTCGGCACTGAGACCCTTCTGGACAAGTCCAAGTCGGTCAAGACTGTGCTCATGCAGTTGTTCGGCGACAACACCAACATTGAGGGTGTTGACACCGTGAACGCCTGCTACGGAGGCACCAACGCCTTCCTTAACTCTGTCAACTGGATCGAGTCTTCCGCCTGGGACGGCCGTGATGCCATTGTCGTCGCTGGTGACATTGCCCTCTACGCCAAGGGCAACGCCCGCCCCACTGGAGGCGCTGGCGCCGTCGCCATGCTTGTTGGCCCCAACGCTCCCGTTGTTCTGGAGCCCGGTCTGCGTGGTACCTACATGTCCCATGTTTACGATTTCTACAAGCCCGACCTCACCAGCGAGTACCCCTACGTCGATGGTCACTACTCCCTGACCTGCTACACCAAGGCTCTGGATGCTGCCTACCGTGAGTACAACAAGCGTGAGGCCAAGCTCTCCAAGGCTGCCAACGGCCACGCCAACGGCAACGGAACCACCAACGGAGAATCCAAGCTCCCCAAGACCAGCCTTGACAGATTCGACTACTTCTCCTTCCACGCCCCCAACTGCAAGCTCGTCGCCAAGTCGTACGCTCGTCTGCTTTACCACGACTACCTCGCCGATGCCGACTCATCCGTCTTCGCCGAGGTCGCCCCCGAGCTCCGCGATATGGACTACGAGAAGTCGCTGACCGACAAGGTCGTCGAGAAGACCTTCATGGGTCTCACCAAGAAGAAGTACCAGGAGAGAGTCGCTCCCGGTGCCCAGGTCGCCACCCTCCTCGGCAACATGTACTGCGGTAGCGTTTGGGGCGGTATTGCCAGCTTGCTGTCCTACGTTGACGCTGCCACCCTCAAGGACAAGCGCGTTGGTGTCTTCAGCTACGGCTCCGGTCTCGCTGCCAGCTTCCTGTCTTTCCGCATCAACGGCGACGTCACTCCTCTCGCCAAGGTTCTCGACATTCCCGCCAGACTCGAGGCCCGCACCAAGCTCAGCCCCGAGACCTACGAGGCCGTAAGCAACTCTTTCCCCAAGCACAATGCAAACGAGAGAACCCCCGCTGATAATGAAATTACAGTTCTGCGACCTCCGCCACCAGGCTCACCTCCAGAAGGACTTCTCCCCCAAGGGTGACGCCTCCACCATCACCCCCGGCACATACTACCTGGAGAAGGTCAACGACAAGTTCCAGCGTTCCTACAGTGTCAAGGCATGAAACCGACGATGGCTTTTTTGTTCTTGGAATTACGAAACAAATAGAGGCGGCTGCATAGATCTTGCGACATCATGATAACTGAAGGAGCATGGCCAGCATTACGTAGTTTAATCAGAGGAGGAAATATCGAGGCGCCGCCGGCCACAACATATGGAGATTCTGTTGTGAGAGAGGATATGGCGCGTGGAATGCACCCCGCAATGAGGGCATTGTATATACCGGGCCAGAAAGCCGTATTTGAGCGTCCTGAAGGACGAATGAAGCTGGAAGAATAGATGAATGAATTGAATCACGCCCTAACCTCTTGGACTCACATGTGAGAAAAGTGATGCTCGTGCTGCTCATGTTCCATGACCTCGTTTCTAATAATCTTGTCAATGCCAAAATGCTAAAGTCCTCCTTTTGCGGTTGACTGTGATGCTACTGATGCTACACTACTAATACATGTCACGCATGACATTCTATGGGTAATATGCTCGGCCGTTTCTAACACGAGTTACGCTCGACATGAGAATCACTAGTCACGTCCATGTATGATGCGACCTCACCTCGCCTTCTTACTCGCACATTCTACCATTTCCTTCATTTATCACCCTTCCACTTCCACTCAGCCCGGCGGTGCAAATGGTAATCCTTGCTCTGGATAGCCTTATAGATACCATACAGACCGCCAATGGGCGGCTTGGACTTGAGGACGTCGCGCCAGCCCTTCTTCTCGCCCTTGCGGGCCTCGACGTCGACTTTCACCTTGTTGTACACGGTCGGCAGCGTTGTGGCGTTGTACTTTTCGCGCAGGGCCTCGTACCAGCTCTTGTTGTTGTAGGCCTGCCAGAACTCGTCTTCGGTGTAGTACGTGTGCGCGTACAGCCACTTCATGCCGCCCAGCTCGCGGAGCTTGTGCTCGAGGGCGCGGTTCTTGGAGACGAATTCGGCGGGGTCCGAGGGGCCCCAGCCCCAGAGGCCGATGTTGAGC